AAATTATTCAACTAAATAAAAATTGCGCAAATTAAAATAAATATTCGAATAATTTACGAAAATAGTAATTAGTAAATACGAATAACATAATCGAATAAATTATTCGATAGTTGAATAATAGTGTGAATAATCTAATTTTGTTCGATAGTACAGATCATTAATTTCAGTCTATCACTACATAACTTATCAGGCATATGTGGAACAACTGACTCTCTCTCGCTGTAAACGTAGGAACTACATATAACCAGTGGTGCATTTAGAATATATGCGCCCCAGGGCAAAACAGTTGTATTGCCGCCCCCTCCCCTTTCACTTATTTTCACCCACTACACTTTACAACCTTAGACATTCTCTCGTCGCTCTCAATCACTGAAAAATGTGCCCCTTGCTTGTTTTGAATAACATTTTAAAATGTATATCCTAGGGTTTAAAAATTTATAATTTCTAAATATTTTATTCAAATAAAATATCATACTAAATGATGACATAATTAGATTGTATACGTTATTACTTGTTTCATAGATATTTAACCAAAATGATATGATACGATAATCTGTTATCGTTTATTACTTGTTACTTGGGGGTACAAAATGTACACAACATAGTGTAGACAAAATTCTATGTAAAAGGCGACCGTACTCAATATAAAATCACTCATAGTCTTTTTATACAACAGCGCTTACAACAATTACCTATTACCTATTATTTATAAAAATAAAATCGTAGATTAATCAATCAATTAATCAATGATGCTATTAAGTGTTATACATTCTGTGATAAAGACAAAAATTAATACACTCAATAAAACCATCGTCTCTAAAACAGTTAAAATGTTGCCACTAGAGTTATTTGACCCCTTTGTTCCCCCTAAATGCTCTACTGCGTATAAGCATTTGCATTATTTTCACCGACAGATCGCCAGAACGCCATTTGTATGTGTTTTGAAAATTTGAAATTTTTATTATAAAAAAATAATAAACATCTTTGTAAAACCATAAGCTTCTTCGCTCTACTCAAAAACTAAAACAATAATGATAATAATAATAATGAGCAATTTAAATATCATGATCATAATTTTAATAAGAAGCATAATAGGTAATAATAAATATGCTAATCACTTAAATAATAATAATAAGTATTTTTATAATAATAATCAAATTAGCTTCATAATAATCATCAACATTTGTATAATATTAATCAACAATAATAATAGTCGGCATACTTATAACAACCATCAATAATAATAATAATAATCGTTAACCAATATTCGAATCAGCATTTTAATAAAATAATCAACAATAATCATAATCATAATTTTAATAAGAAGCATAACAGGTAATCATAAATATAATGATCACTTAAGTAATAATAATCACCAATTACAATAATGAGCATTTTAATAATAATAATCATATCAGCATTAAAATAATCATCAATACTTTTAATAATATTAATCAACAATAATAATAATCAGCATACTTATAATAATAATCAATAAAAATAATAATCATCATCAAATATCTACCCTTATTAAACTTTAAACCGTTATTAAAATTATTATTCAGTTTATTGTTGATTATTTTATTAAAAAGCTGATTCTGATATTTGTTAAAGTATATTATGATTATTATTGTTGATTAATATTATTAAAAGTATCGATGATTATTATGATGCTGATTGGATTATTATATTATTATTAAAATTCTCATTATTATTATTATTATTATTTTCGATTCTGAGAGTGGTAAAGAATATATTAGTTTAACAAAGATGTTTATTTTTGTTTTTATATAAATACTTTTTCTACCAGAAATTCTTATTCGATGAATATGATATAGACCGTTTTCTGAAAGAAAATTATCTTGAGGTGCTATTTTAGAAAGGTTATTGTTCGATTTTCCTAGGAGTTTTCTCAATAAATGTGAAAAATCGAAAAAAAACGGAGGAAAAACGGGAGAATGTACGAAATGTAGGAATAAATTAAAAATATTTCGGCTTTTTTTCCCTATGAACAAAATTTCTACCAGCAGATTTACAACGGTAGCACTTTTTCTAAAAGGAATTCTGACTGGGAAGTTTAATTAAATTAAGATTCTGAGCTGAGTTCGGTTATACATGTTTTAAAAGATCGTAATATTTACGATTTGAAAATAATACAATTATATACATTTGTTTTCGGTTTTTCTAATTTATTCTTAAAACCCCTGGAAAAATCAAAACATAACCTCTTTAAAGTACCATTCCAGTCAAATTTCCTTTCAGAAAAGTGTTACACTTAAAAATCGGATCAAAATTTCTTGTAGACAAGTTTTTCCCAGAAAAATAGATAAATAATGAACATCATTGTATAACCAATATACTCCTCACTCCACTCAGAATTTAAAATACGAATACAATTTTTATGAAAATTTCATAAAAATGTTTGATTTACATACGTTAGTTATTTCTTGTGTTTGATCGTTTAATTCTTTAGCCCATAGTCTAGGGGAAATACATCTCTCTTCGCTTATAGTATTATCAACTAAAGTCAATCTAAAAGTTTAGGTGGAAAAATGGTACCACCATATCGTGGTAATAAAATTATATACATACTATTATAGTTGAATATGAATATAGATCTGTGTATGTGTCTATATCTCATCTCTCACAACATATTATATAGAGATATTAAATTTCCCCAAGTTTTTGCCAAATGTATTGATTTGCAATGTTATTGGGTGCAAACAAGTAGGTTTATTACTAACGTTATTTACTAATTATATTAGAACAACCAGCAGCAGAATATTATATTAAAATATACATTAGATAATTAGATATCAATGGGGCAAATGGAAGGGTCCAGATCCTATGGACCCAACCCTTCGCCGTAAGTACACTACTGTAGTAACACCTAATCGTGAATATTCTGTCGATGCTCATAAACCAATAGGTATTGTTGCAAAGTAGATACAAAAACCGGATTAAAAATATAAATAAATTTAAAAAAAATAGTTACACCATTATCCAAGCTGTAATAACGGTATGTGTTTTGTTTATTTAAAGAAGAAAATACTGGTGAAGTAAATGTAAATTCCGAGACCTTTGACGATGGAAACCCGTTATAAATGTAAACTATTATAAGCATGTAGGAGTAAATTATAGGTGTACTGTATTTATTAACATTGAGAGAAAGACCAAGGTTGGAGACCCATATAGTATTTTAACAAAGTTCACCAAGTAAAATACGATGATTGGTAAGGTATATTTTAGTATATTTTATACGAAGTTTGTATATCGTCAGCATATAATAGAAAGTGGAAGTAGGTAAGCTTTCTTATATGGTGCAAGCCACACACGAAATATTTCAAAAGTATCCGACCATTAAAATATCAACAATCAACTTAAATCAACAATTATAGCAATTACTATAACTCGAAATATAAGAATTACGAGTTTAAAAAAAGTGTAATGCAAATGGAAAACTAACTTATTAAAACAATACATTTTTAACTTATATCATTGAAATTTCATCTCTAATGAGTTCATGTCTCATTTAAGCTTGATGTCCATTAGAAATAATTAAAATCACAAATGACGTGTCATTTTTAACAGCTTATAACTCTGCTATGATGGGAGATACGAAAACAAAACCTTTTAAGATAATGTAAGTATTTGTCAATAGAATAGTAAAATAAAATACAAAAAGTCGTCCTAGGATAATGGGGACGGGAGCAGCCACTGTTAAAGGTAATTTAATGTATACTTGTAAGCAACGATAAATCATTGCTTACAAAAAAACGATTCTGAGCGGATTTCAGTTGATAGTGATGCTTTGTCAACAATATATATACCATATAATACAAAATAATTAAATGTGCTTTATATATTTTCTTTAATAATATTTATTTAATGTTCTACCGATTTACCCTGTTTTTCTACGTTTTTCCTGGTTTTCCCATGTTTTTTCCCAGTTTTTCATATTTTCTGAGAAAACTCCGGAAAAAATCGATATAAGACCTATTTAAAATATTTCCCCGGTGAAATTTCCTTTTTTAGAAAAATTGCTATCATTAAACTTAAAGCGAAATTGCTGTTAGAAAAGTTGTCCACAGAAAAAAAAATATACATCTTTGTAAAACCACAAGTTTCTCCGCCCCACTCAGAATTTAAAACTGTAAACAAATTGGAAATTATTTGAATTTTACTTGAATCATTTTTATAAATACAAACTTTTGACAAAATTTTTCCTCTAAATTTGTGCTCCAGTTCCCTTGTGTACTCGAAGGGCTTAACGAGTGACTAGTGTAGATTCTTTTGGTATATAGCACGGGACCGTAAATGTCATTGTCAATAAATTTTTATTGCTTTATTAATGGCCCTTATAATTGACCAAAAACGTATTCAAATTTTATATTTTACATTTCTGTGTTTAGCTATACATTTACCTTTTTATAGAATTGTTTGGATTAGAATTTTATGAACTACTGCCATCTAGTGTTATAATTAGGGCTATTGGGAGCTTGCGGTTTTCACAACAATACTCCTTTAATATCTTTGGTATAGGCAATTCAAATAACATGACACTTTGATACTCATTACTTATCAAAACAGTCCTCTGAATCTAATTTCCCCTAGACAATTCAAAACATTGTAACCTGTAGGTATCATAATGTTTTGTGGAGTTAATTAATATAATACACATAATATTCATAAACACAATAAACTTCAAATGACCATAACTAAGAAAATAATGATTAGCGCCAATTATCGTTTACGCCATCATTTTTAAAACGTTAATTTACTTAAGTTTTGAAAAAAAAAGTGGTAGTTAACGATAAATTATGCCGATATTTCAAAGGAAAACAGTTGGTAACAGAAAAATTTTGTATCTAGTCCCTTATCAATTTCTAACAATCCGGATCTATACCACGGTAATAAGGTGGATATACCTTGCACGGTATCTACAATAATAGTTTACAACCGTAATCTACACTGAAAAAATATTGAGGTTATGGGCAATAATTTTTTTGATATGATTTGATTTTTGATTTTGATAATAAAGAAATTTTAAATTTCTCATTCTTGTTTCTTAATATGATCGAAGTCTCAAATAAATCATGACTTCATTTAAAAAATCATTTGTTAAGCCATTTGCTCGTCCAAATGATTCTTATACCGTTGAAGATTCTTATTGGAAAAAACTAACGGTATGTTTAAATTATTTAAATATTTATTTTTTAATATTTTTTGAATTGAATACAATTTTTCAGAGTCCGGTACTGGTCAAAGAATTTGGCCCCATAGATTATATCAATTTTTCACGACGCTCACCGTATCATTTTGCAGTTTCGTGTTCAGCCCGTGTAAGCATTCTATTTGATAAATTAAGTAAATATATTATCCCCATCTAAATATAATATTTGATTTAGGTTCAAGTTTACAATCCTGTTACAAAGGTAGTTACAAAAAATTTGAACAAATTTAAAGAAGCTGCTTATGGTGCATCGTTTCGTAGAGATGGTAAACTATTATGTGCGGGGGGTGAAGAATCGATTGTGAGATTATTTGAAGTTAACACAAAGTCTATGTTGAGACAGTTCAGAGGACATAAAGCGTGAGCCATTGATAATTAGAAATCTTTATTGTAATATTTTCTCTAATGTTTAATTTTATCGGTTTAGAGCTGTTCACCGTACATTTTTTACTCGGGATGGACATCATATTGCTAGTTTTTCAGACGACAAAACTGTTTCTTTATGGGATATCAGTAGTCAACAAATAAGTGGCCACTTTGAAGGATATCATACGGTAAAAATATTTTATGTTATAATCCAAATTATAAATTTTGATAGTTAAATTTATGTCTATTCAATAATAAAAAATAAATTATGCAGCTAATAATCCAAACTAATACCATCCATTTTTATTCTTTTTTTAAATATTATTGTACCAAAACAAGAATTCTACTTATAATGACTATTATCAATATTATCTGTTTAAATACATCATGTAATATTAATAAAAAATTAGTAAACAATACTAATTTTGTATTAAAAAAAAAAATTATTAATTTTTGTTGGTTTCTATATTTTATAGATTTTTTGTTAATTTATAAGTCATAAAACATATTTACGTATATCGCATATGTACATTATATTATTTATTCGAATGGGATACTATATACAGTTTCAAAACTTTAAATAAATTATTGTTTGTACATTGTATTTTTAAATAATTTGTTTTATGATTATGATAAAGTATTAAATGTATGTGTTACCATTTACCAATCAAATTGTATCATAATACAAATAATTATTTTTATATATACTATAATTAATTTAGGAGGCTCAACTTCTGCTTGCTTCGATCACAGATTCTTGTTGCATATTTACGTAAATAAATTGTAAAAAATATGCAACTTATAAATATCAAAACTTTTTTGTGTAACAGAGAAAAAGATGTTTATAAACTAAAACAGGTTGGGTAAAATTTAAAAACATAATTAAAATAAAAAAAATAAATAAAATTAGGTGTTTAAACTTATCAATAATATTATGTTTTTAAAATAACCTAAAATAAATGAGAAAATAATTGAATCAATCATTACTAGTGTTAAGTTTTATTGTATTTAAAAAAATTATCCATATTATACAAAACTGTATGTGTATAATCGGACAAATGTATCCACTGATAGATTGTTTTCATAAAGTTATTTGACTAAAAATACATAATATTACCAAAATAATAATAAATAAATGTAATTTATTTTTTTTTGAATTTACAGGACTATATCAGAGCTGGATGTGTTTCCCCAATTTCTGAAAATCTATTTGTTTCTGGTGGCTATGACAAAAAAATTAACATGTTTGATTCAAGAACTAAGTCCGTAACATTGTCAGTTGACCACGAAGCACCAGTAGAAAGCCTTATGTTTTTACCTTCTGGCAGTTTACTGATATCTGCTGGTAATATATACAAGTTATTAAATGTTTTCAATTATTATTAATCAACAATATATAAATTTACTCATGTATACATTGAAAAGTTGAAAAATATAAATCATGTTTCAGGTGGTACTGAAGTTCGGATTTGGGACGTTTTAGCTGGTAAATTATTGGCTAAACTCACCCAGAACCATAAAACTGTTACTGCATTGTGCCTAGCCAAACAAGGTACAGCCATTGTAACTGCCTCGTTGGACAAGCACGTTAAGATTTACAATGTATCAACATTCCAATTGTCACACGATATTACTTATCCGAGTGCAGTACTCAGTATTGATATAAGTGTTAGTATTTTGAGCTTATTGATAGTAATGATATTAATCAATTTTTTTTACAAAACTATGAAAATATTTTTTTTTTCACAACTAAAGGTGCCCTTTGAATACAATAAGGTATATAGAATATAACTAATAATATATAGTAATACAAAATAATAGAGTAATTATACAGTTAAAACAGTAAGGAGGGGTCCCTATTGGTGATACACATTAAATGTCTCATTAGTTCATTTTTCATGTAATTGCTTTTGAATTGAGGAATATAAAAAGACATTAGTATATAAGTAGGATGTTGAGGAATTTTGAAGTCTATAAGTGATAAGAGAGTAGGACAGTCTATAGCGCTAGACAATTAAACTCTTAGAAAAGTCTTTCTTAATAATGTTCTTTTAAAACATTTTTTAATAAAATATATACTTTAACAATATTAATATTGCATTTTAATTTTGTTTAGTAACTTTAAATATACTTTTTGAAAATATTAAATTTCATTAAGGTACAGTTTCCAAGGTGCGACAGTCGCCGTTTGACTGTTAGTATGTAATTCCTATTGACTGGTTTCCAACACGCGACTGTTGTCGCACGACTGAACTTTATCGTGGCGACCGGCGACACTACTGGTCCAAGAGCAGTGTATTGCGACTGTCGCGCGCGACCGTTGATTTATTTCATTCACAAACCAGCTCTTGGGTAGTGTATTTCGACAGTTCCGTACAGCAATATGGCTAAATTGAATTTTTCGGGAGAAGAAGAAGAACAACTGATCGAAATGGTTTTTATTAACATGAAAAAACTCGCGAAATTTTGTTTCATTTCGTATTAAATGTCAATTTATTAAAATTTCAAAGTATCCTTCACTTTTTCTATTAAGAAAAAGTGCATCAACTTTTTCTTTCTGATCGCATTGTGTTGTAATTAATAAATCATCATCCTCTTGCTCTTCTTCAAGAAGAAGTAACATTATTTTATTATTGTTATTAATAATTGTATTCATACTCATAGTAGTAAATATACTATTTAACTTTAAAACACTAGCCCTCACTGCACGAGAACCACAATGATACTGAATACAGATACAGAATTTGATGGTTTTCTTTACGTCTCGGCGACCAGTCACGCCTAGAAATCAGCACACACCAATGTCTCCGCGACCGGTCGCACCTTGGAAACTGTACCTTTAATAAGTATCATTAAAAATAAATGTATACAAATATAAGTACACACTAGACATGAATATTATTTAATTTTAATCCTAATTTTTTTAGATGGACGATAAAACAATTGTTGCTGGAACTGTTGATGGTATTGTAAACATAACTAAACGTGACACATCAATTAAACATAATATGAAAAACAAAACGCGACAAGCGAGAGCTGCAGCAATTGTTCAATCCGATAGTATTGATATGACTGTGCCGATGATGCAACCCGATCAAATGAGCAAGTTTGATACTGCTTTAAGAAAATTCAACTATAGTCAAGCTTTAGATTTGGTCTTAGTTCATGCAGTTGCTTTCAAGAAACCTCATGTAACAGTTTATGTGTTTGACGAGTTGTGCAGGTAAACAATGTTAATCACAATATTTATTTTTTTTTCATTTTAATAAATTATGTATTGTGATTTAAATTCTAAATTAATGATTTTTAATATTTTTGATAATGCCTTTATATGCAAATTGAGTAGCTATTTGATTTCTTATTTTTAAATTACAGTACCACCCTTTATTATTTTAGATTTTTGAATATTTTTAGCTTTACATTTCATTGTTATTTATTTTCTTAGGAGAAATGGTTTAGTACAAGCAATATCTGGCCGGAATCCAAAACAATTATCGTTTCTGTTAAATTTTATCGTTCGATATATTGGAGTTCGAAAATTATCTAAAACATTGACACATGTAGCTTCAACTGTTATTGGTGAGTATAAAATTACAATTTATTCATTAAAAAATATTTAAATTTATGTAGATAAATTTTTTGCTAAATACAATAGAATTCTTTACAATCTTATTTGTCTCATTAGTGTGACTTCATTACCATAGTCATTGCATGAATTATATTTTCGAGTTATTAAATATATTATTTTTAGTTTTGATTCTTAGAATAACAATTTTTTCATACTTATTTTTGTTGACATTAAATTAAATTCAACTTGTAATTGTTGTTTTGCTTGCGGTTTTGTTGTAACCTGGAGTTGCCATTATTTACATTTTGGCATTGTTAACAAATTTAAATTTATTGAATTTAATTGGGCAACACAATATTAATAATAAATAATAAATTATGTACTATTTTAGATTCTGACATTATATACAAAGACAACTAATCATTTAATCATTTCATAGATGACATCTTCGAATTTTTCTTTTTTTTAGTTTCCAAATTTATTCATAATAAATACATTTTAATTTATTTATTATTATATTATTACAGAAATTAACTATTACTTTTTCGTTGTTATCTTATAGACTGTTACTGGGATTCATTTGAAACATCCACTCTTGAAGTTCGTGCGCTGTTGACAAAACTACATACCGTTGTAGAAAATGAAATTTTATTGACCAAAAGAATGTTGGCTATTGATGGTTTAGTTAAAATGTTACTTATTAGTTCTGAAGCAATACCTGATGCTTCTCAGACTGTACAGAATGAAAATAAAGTTGAACTAAAAACTTAACTGTTGTTTTGGGTTATTTTTATTTGTATTATTTGATTTGTGTTGTTCAGATTTGTAAGTTTTGTATTTTCTTTTTGATAAGACAAAATTAACATTTGGCTGTATTATTTGATAAATACCTATCCAAATAGTAAAATACTAAAAGTTATAGGAGACAATAAGTAGTTTAAGGAGAAATGAAGTGCATAATATTTATTATAGTAGTAATACTTAAATAAATAAATATTGTTGATTTGTAAACGCCAAGTACAAAATTGAAAATATTAAGTTTATTAAAAATAATAATAATAATACAAAATGAATATGTACAAAAAAATAAAAATAAAGTGACTTTGGTAAAATTTACTTAAATCTATGAGCTAGACCACAATGTGTGAGAGAATCAAAATGAACATTAATGGCCCAGATTTATATGCATTTGCATGTTTTTTTTTTAACAGTCTAAAAAGTAGCTAGATAAGCTACAAATTTGAATTATAGCAATAGATCTAAAATGCAAAGTTTTATTTTTAATATTTTGTCATTTTTTGATATGTACTGCACATTTCTGTATTTTACGATTTTTCATTGCATTATAGTCGAATACTTCAGTGTTTCATACTCATTTGTTTTACAATTATTTGTTGGTTTTACCTACATATTCCTATGGTTTGTAAGGAATTTGTTTGTTTTCTTAGAATATCTAATCACTTCTAGATTAGGATAATTAGTTTGGGACTAGTTATTGTAATCTGTATATAGAGTAGATTTGTATAAACATACATTTTTATTTGCATATTTTTGCTTATTTTAATGATAATTGGTGCATAAATGTATGCATATTTTGTACATTTTTTGTGCATATAATTCTGGGCCCTAATAATTAACTACGGTTCCTAATATAATTTAATGTAAATCAGTGCGGTACTTGATACAAAAATCATTGATAAGTAGGAACTTTGCACGGTCTTGCTAGCAGCGTTTCGAAACTTGTTGGATAATGGCACACATGTTACCTCTGCTGTCTTCGGTTCACTGTATTCTGTGAAGTTGGGAAACACATATGTGTTTATCATCTGAAATTATTATTACATACATTAATAAAAAAAGTTAATAACAGTTTATAGAATAAGTCCAATCAATTCAAATCAATTCATGTAATTTTATTACTTTTGTACATAGATTTAGAAATAAATAAAAAAAAAAAATGGTTTAAAGAAAAAATATGATATGAAATAAAGATTTTATGTTAAAACAGATATCATTTTTTCAAATATGTATACATTACCAGAGAGTTTGAGAAATAATTATTTTCATTTGAATTGTGTATTTATCCTTTAAATGATATATAAGAATATTGAAAATATAAGACATTTAAAAGTTATATCCTGGCTTTTTAGATTTGGAGCATATCAAGAAATGTATTGGTATTACTATGATATTTATTAATATTTTTCTTTCTTTTTTTTTTACCTGTGAACAACACTTTCAGCCAGAAATCGTGCCCAGATTATTAAGTGTTTCTTTTTTGATTTTCCCAGCAGTTTTCATAATTATTTGGAAAAACGGGAAAATATACGTACACGAATAAAAGAAACTTCACTCTAAATTCGTTTTCAATGGTTTATCGTTGCGTACAGATATAAATAGAATTTTACCCTCTTAACTTCACACCGACAGTAGAGGCCCACCCGTCCTACCCCACGAAGAAGAGAGATTGGACAGAACAAAAAATTGTTTAAATAAAGTGCAGTTAGGTTTAGACATCCCGTAAACATCCAGGAATACATAGCCAATTAAATGGATATATAATCTTGAACATACTACACTATAGAATTTGAATCGAAACCTTAGAAAACTACAAATTTCTGAAATTATAGTTGGTTTAAAAACCAACAAATTGCTCCACTAAATAAAAATCGTTGAGTACACAAAGGATAACATTCCAAAAATACGAAAAATAAACTGAGATGACCATTTTGTAGCTGAAAGATATACTCATATAATAAACGTATATAAAATAATATTCTATTTTAAAGGCTAGGTATTAGGTAACGTATGTTGTACAGACAAGTTTTTTATTGTAATAAAACTTAAGGAAATAAGCAGTGTTTTTTTAAATTTTCTAAAAATTGGGTGTTACGGAATATTATCCTTTTTCCACTCGGCTGTTCAATTAGTGCCTAAGATAATTTACCCAGGGTTTCATTAATGCGTGTGACGTATCGGTTGACGCAGTAGAACCGAGCAATTTACCGCTCTTAATAAAATGTATCATTGCAAAATTAAGTGATTACGCCTAAAATACAATTAAAAATACGAGGAAGCTCATACATCCTGAAAAATCGTGTTACCGCATATTCTAATTCTGAACGAGTAAAATATCTACAAACTAAGCACCGTAATTATTATACATAACGTCCCAAGTCCAAATGCATAGGGGCCGAAAGTTCATAAGTAATTAACGAATCAAAATCCTAACTCCTAATTCCAAACTAGGAACTTCCATACTGATTAAAATTGAGAAAATCAATCGCTAAAACTGAATAAACGGAAATTGAATCCGACAGGGATGCATTGAGACATTTGAGTAAAGCTTGTAAAAATAATAGGTACCTATACCCAATAATAATCATCATCAGGGTTTTAATAATCGATTGGTTGATAATAATCATAGAAATATTACTAATTAAGATAATAACAATGCACGCGAAAATAATAACCAGAACAATAACAAATTAGCAAATAATTCTGTTCGTTGCTGCCTAATTTAAATAATATTGTACGTGCCCACTGTCTACCTAATAATTACCAGTGGTGGATCCAGGGGGGCAACGGGGTTATATACCCCCTCCTCAAACACAAAAGTGGAGTAGTAGGTTTTGGTTCACAAGGTGTTTTAATTTAATATTTTTAGCACTATATTTTTGCACTTTTGCTTCCCCCCAAAATTTAATTTTAGATCCGCCCCTGCCAATTACAACACTAACGAGTGTCTTAATTTAACTTCATTTACAGCTTTTGCGTGGCCAAAAAAAAAATGATAAATGGAAAACATACTTTTTATTAAATAATTATTGTGTATTTCAAACATTATAATGAACTATTTAACAATTATTTTACATTATATTCTTACATAAGATTTATATTATGTTGTACAATTGTCATGTACATAAATTAGGTACTCTACGTAAGTTCGATTCTTTTCACAATCGAATAAATAATAAAGGTTATAGCGTCGCGGTGCGCGTATATTTATATTATAGATGTTCGATTAAGTTTATTGTTAAACTTACGTTAGTTATTAATAATGCGATAAAGGCCTAAACAAAATTATAAGTAATTCATTATAATATGTAATGGGAGCCATAAAAGAATCCGGAATTTAATAGGAAAATTATAAAATAATATAGGTATATACCCAACATTCGAATGATTTTAACTATAGGTATAGGTACCGCGGTTCAACGGCAGTGACAAGGGGCTGCGCTTAATGTTTAAACAACAAAATAATTTTAGCGTTCTGTAAATTATATATACAGATATTAGGTATTCCAGCTTCTGGAGTCAATCGAAAATTGTGAGATTTACGGTTTATATTAATACAAAAACGAAATATTAAATTTATATAAGTAGGTAGATTTTTTCGCACAACAGTGATTGCATTTTTATTTTTTCCAAGACGTTCCTTTTTAACGAGCGTTGAAAATATAGTAATTTAATAATAGTAAGTATTAGCTTTTAAAATAGAATTTTATCTCTTTTAAACACACGTGTAGTTTATTTGCAGTTGCCTTATTAAAGCGAATGCTAAAAATTTCCAATTAAGTTACTGTAGGTATAGGTTGGTAATATACATTATAAAGAGAGGAATATTTTTTTATATTTCTCTGCAAACATTAAATCATTAAACATAAAACAAAATAATTGATGTTGCTGACTGGTGTATTACTGTTTTCTGTAGGAAGTTCGGTAGGTATTAATAAAAATCATATAAAGAATATATAAAGAGTAATATAAATTGAAATAGTAATTGAATTTATTTGATTTTCCTGAACATTAAAACTTCAAACGATTTTAAAAGCGTTATTTCATCAATATTTTTTTTAGCAAAGAAAACAACTTATAACAAATCTAGTTTTTAATTTTAAATCATTTCTGCCAGCTCAAATAAATTGGAATCATATAAAACCTAATAAAAGTTCTACAAAAGTGTGGTGAGACCGATTATGTTGTATGGTTCATGGTGTATGGCGGTAGACAGAACAATAGAACAAAGAATGAATACAGCAGATATGAGAATATTCAGATGCGTGAATGGAGTGACGAGATAGGAACGATAAGGAATGATAATAAATGATTACATAAGAGGTAGCTCAGGCATGGCTTCGATAGTAGACCAAATGAGAGAAAATAGACCGAGACGGTTTGAGCATATCATGAGGATAGAGAGGATTCAGAAGCAATATAAATTGTAATGAAAATAAATGTAGCAGAAAAGTGACCGAAAACGAGGTGTTTGGATGCGATTGAGAATGATCAATGATGCGAGTTGGGAGATCGGGCCATGTGGAAGTTTAGAACGAGGGTGGTCGATTTCAAATAGCTGGACTCAAGGTGGAAGAGAAGAAGAAGATATTATTTGCATTGTATGAAAAATGTGTTTGATTTCTTAGATTAAAACAAATGACTACCGACAATACTCACCAAGGCCAACGTATCGTTGTGCAGCCTGCAAAATGTCATGTGTTTGCCGTTAATCAGCTGCCTCTCGATATTCCCGGTGAACAGTGCTTCTTCCCACGGGAGATTGTCCAAATGCTGTTGGAACGTCTTGTTCTGGAATTCTACGGGTTCCATGATTTCCAGGTCCTTGAACAGATTTGGTTCGTTGTCGTCTTCAATTGTGAACGATGGCTGCTTCAATAGGTACGATATATGTGCCTGGTTGAGTTCGTCCAACGATTTCGACGAGTCAAACGACGGTGTCGTCGAAAACGCAGGCGGCTTTTTGGTCCTAAGGGAGAAAAAAACGCTATACTTACGGGTTTAAATATTGTGCTGGGAAACTCATCAGACTTTGCTATAGACCTTTTTGATTCAAACATTTTTTATACGCTGATAAAAGGAAAAAAACGCATGAACAACAGAATTTGTTTATTAGAGTAAAATTTGCCCCCTCTCGATTTTTTTTGGTTAATTTCAAAATTAAACGGGTCTAAAATGTTACATCACCATTATTTTTGTCAACCTTATTTTTGGCGGTGAACCGACTACCAAATTTTAATTTTCATATGAAAATATATATTAAAAATTCTTTCTGTCAACCCGTTATCGAGAGATCCCATTTTTAAGTTTGGTTAGTGGGGGAGTAGTGAAACATCATTTGTGCGACAGCACGTCGTGCGGCATTCGAATAAATATCGCAATGATCATATTATCTTCGTGCAGGTACATCCTGTGTATAAGAGACACAATACAGTGTAATATTTTATATTTTTCGGAAAAATTCGACAAAAATATTAAGCATAAGGTATTATTACATCGCGAATTTCGTTTGAAACATATTTCATTCCAATAATTATAGGTATATAATTATTTTAATTTTAATTTTAATTTAATTTATAAATTACTAAATTATCAATCAAAAATTCTCAAAATAAATAAACGCGTAATATTTAAAATCGTAGGTATCATTAAAACAAATTTAGTTATTGTAAATAATATTCTTATTCAATATTTCACATCTATGTAATTATTTTTACCACATAAACTTGTTGTACGTAAACTATATAGATTGTTTATTTCTAATAAAAAAAGATTATTATAACATAATGTATCGGATTCTTAAAATAGTAAGTCGCTTAGCTGCAGCAGTTCTTATTATATAATAATTAAGTTTCATTCACTAACGGGTACCATGTTAAAACGGCAATGTCTGCAAAAAAAAAAAAAATAATAATAATAATAATCCTTACGTGGTATCTGCCATTTTCAAGAATATTTTCTCCACTCCTTCCATGTTGTAGTTCAAAAATTGTTGGATACCGAATGTTTCGAAGAAAAACGGCACCGGCGTCATGCTAAAACAACTAGCCAGAGGCGTCCGTGGGTAGTACGTGACGAACGCCAAACACATCTCTTGCTTTGTCGAATAACCACCCTGCGCAGTTATAATTTAAGTCTCAACAAAAATGTTTAACGTACAACAAAATTATACAAGATGATTATTTTATCGCGGCTCAGCGATTAATACAGATTTTGAGTCAATTTTATTTCGACGAATTATAATTAGGAATTGTTTAATGATCTTATTTAGAATATTTTCAAAATCGCATCCTTTTTCCGTACACCATAAACACATAAATTATAAACTTTCGATTTTCTTTCGGTAACCCTGCACATTTTTAAATTCGCATTCTAAACATTTATTGTATGAATATTGAATATTTTAACGATACTAATCAACTAAACAAAACGTTTATGAGTTGTATAGCTTTTAACAGTTTACAATTAAGTATATAATAGTACGATAGATATCGAAGTGTTTAAAAAAGTAGCCTAGTTTCGAATTGGAGTTTGAAAATATTGGTTGGTATCTGAAAAACAAAAGTTGTTATATGTATACTGTATAATATAGTAAACGGAATAACATTTTGAAAATATCCAAAAATATCTAAAAAAAAAAAAAACAAAATCAAATTTATACAAAATCTTAGTAGATAATTGTTAATAAATTAATCACCATTCGTTCACCCTGTAATCTGTACATTATAAATTAATACCCATTGTTGTATAAAAAAAAGTACTATTAAAATGACGATATTGCGAGAAAGTAATAGCCGTTATATAGGTAATAAATACAGCGACATTTATTTTTAAGGCTATATAGATACGATTACATATTAATTACTCTGAAAACAGATTCAAAATGTTAAGAATCGCAACAACTGTACGATACTAGGTTGAATTGGGTTTCACATTTTATCCTGGTTTAATTTAATTTTCGGTCGGCATTGTAGATTTTAATTAACGGCCTTTTTAGAGCACTATTTTTCATTTGTAAATTAATTATAGGTCCCGTTTAAATAGGTTTTCTATATACAATTTTCAAAGTAAACTTTAAAATAAATTTACAATAGAAATAGAAAGAAAAAATGTACACGAAGGAATACTGTTTAAAGTGTTCAATATTTTTATAAGTTGCGGTAAAAACCCGAAACCCGAGATGTACTCGTAAGAATGCATTATTATATCAGTAACAACTAGGTAGTTTTATTTTTTTTTACAAAGACTATGGTAATCGTATAAACCCATATAATTATTTTATGAACACCTATATGATTTTTACTCACGGTCTCACGACTTTTTAATTTTAGTTTTAACCGATTTAGGGTAGCATAATAAATAATAAATAAATTATTAGGTACAATATACAATATGACTTGAGTTGATCATAAAATAATATTATAATGCATAGTAAGTAGAAATTACGTGTGTCAGCTGTGGACGATCCGCAGTATTGTAAACGCATTCCGTGATCAGTTCATCTCCAGGATATACAGTCACTTCGTTGGTTAACTCCCTCGCTTGCTGATAGTTATAGTCGTAATGGTTATCCTATATTAAAAAAAAAAAAAAAAATGAGACAATGAGAATTTCTTCATTCATAAGTAATTTTTTCTGTAATTTTCATGAACAGAAAGAATAGAGATATGAAGAATTCTTTCATAGGAAAAACACGCACAAGTTAATATTGATCAAATATATAGAGAAAGGAAGAATGAGAAGTAGATTTGGCATATTTTATGAAGGAATAATACTAGGGTAAAGACAATATTATAATTGACGGAAGAACTGATGAAAACATATTATAGGAAACCTTAAACGAACTATAAGAGACAGGATGTAGAGAAATAACGATAAGTTAAATAATCCTATAGGATCGAAGGAAATATTACCCATTCGACTTTTTCTAATGCGTCTGGAAAATCCGGTTATTTGACTCTAATCGTCTCACTAGTTAGGACAGGTTAATATTAATTTACGGGGTTACTCGGCAATCTTTTTTAAAATCAGGGTTCAGTTTACAGGAAATAAATCAGGTAGATTGGACCGTACCTTTACGATAGTAGACATTTCTTGGTCGTGCCGGACGTGCCGGAGCCTAAGCTGCCTGGACGCCAGATGAGCGTGCAACAGGACCGATGTGATCTTTATGCCCTGTTCTGGAAATATGACGTTCGTGCAGTCCTTGTCGCATAGGCTGGCTGTCCTGTAAGCCGATTGCTTGGGCGGTACAATGTGTATAGGTGAAACGGCCGTGCCCACGGCCATCACTCCTGCGTCGTTTGCTCTCAAATTTTCCGTATAGTACACTCTTAGGCCCGAGTTGTCCATCACTGTGTTGACAAAAAAAAAAAAAAAAAAAAAAAAAAGAAAAAAAAAAAATGGAAATTTTTATCTGTCTTTGGATAAGTTTTCGAACGGAAGATTATATTGAATTTTTTGAAATTCCAAGACAATGGAGAAAAACATCGGAAAATGGAAATATTTACACGACACCGGTTTTTGTCAAAATCGATTTTTTTTTTTTTTTAATTCAGCGAGGAAAAAATCTTAGATATCTTAATTAGTTCGTTGCATGGTCTCTTGTCTCAAACAGATATCACTATATGAGTTCACGGCTGTTTTTATATTTTTTAAAAAATTCTATTTTTTTGTTTCATATTATTTTTATTATTTTTTTTTTTTCAAATTCCTCAAACATGCTTATTGTAAAAAGTGTATTTACAGATTGTATGTATTATAATTAAAATTAAAAAAAAAAAAAAATTATTTTTATAACAATTGCTTTTCCCGAAGTCGGGTTTTTTATTCATTCATATTGTTTCAATTTATTCTTTTGATTTTTGTTTATTATTGATTAATAATTTTGACGAAATTCGTAAAAGCCAAGAAAAATATTGTGAATCATTTTGTTTAGTTGTTAAAAATTTTCTAAACATGTTATGCCACCCTAAATCAACGCATAACCAGCGATGGGCCTGGGTACAACAGTGAATAATTCTTTTTTCCACCGTAAATCTGCGTAAAGTCTGTACTAAAATCCTTGCCTACCTTTTCTGAGGGTTGGATTGTCGTAGTGCACTTCCAACATGTAATACACATCTCGTCCTGTGATCGGTACGCCTATGTGGTCGGGTAAAAATTGCCCGTCCGAGCCCATCCCCCACGTGACCACCGGTGACACGCACTTGTCCCAGTCCTCGGGCATACCGTTACCATAACACTGTGCACCTTTCAGCGTCACATACTTCTCCATCGTGTTCGGGCCGCCGTCGCACTCGTATAGGATCATGTGATGGATCAGATGTCGCGTGTCCGTGTTCAGCAGTGGCAAGAACTGCAAACGCGAGAAAATGGAATTCGATGGTATACAAATTGTAATAACTGTCGATATTAAACACGACCGTGAATCGCTTATAAAGACAGGTTAATAGGGGTCTAAGTAATAATAGCCAAAGAAAAAATGACATTATACTAAAGTATTCAGAGGAAATAGCCGTGGTAAAAATTAGACAATTTTTACATGATCTTGTATTTATTGTATTTGCCATTATTTGTATGAATGTGTGAGTACAGAATCGTTGGATCACGAAATATTTAGTAATATATTTTAACATTGGTATAAACAACTTGTTTTTTTTAGCTACTAATAAGTCTATGGGTAATATGGATGAAATTCTTCTTGGCATTTTTATTACTCACAATACCCAGTACTCACCCCGACAATATGGTTTTTTTTGATAACCTTGGGTGCTTTGAAAATTTTACACCAATACAATGTGTCGACGTTATCTTTGAGATGCAACTATATATATATAAAAAAAAAACAATATATTAAATTGTCCTAATTTCCGCATTTTCGTATTGATTATTCGTTATTCTATATTACGTTATCCATGGTGACATCCCATCTCTTGTAGTAATCCGTGTTCGGCCTGAACTTTGGTCCTCTCGGGTAAAAGCTCTGAGTACCCTTCCAAGAGCTGCCCAATTTTAACGATTCCGTGAAATGTCTGTCGATTGGATCTCGGTCACTCATCGTCCAAAACATGCGCATTGTATCGTTCTAAAAATATAATAATACAATAGTATAATAATATGGATTAATATTATGTCTTCATAATGGTTAAAAAAAAAATAACAATTGTCCGGGTTTTTTTCTTCTCAAATTTTACAGTACTTTTATAGCGTCCAAAAAGCATCCACATAAATCGGAAAGTATATTAGATAACCTTGATTTTTAAGATTTTCATCAAAATTTGAATTTTAAATGCTTATTAAAAAAAAAAACTACAATTACCGATTTTTGATACCTATATAGTTTTGTAAGAACAATAATAACAAATGAAAAACCTTTTATTAAATTTCCAATTACTTTTGAGAAGCCAAATAAAACCAAACAAACATTTTTAAAAAACCTCGAAAATTTCAAATACGCGGTCGATACTGCAGGTTTCGATAAATGTATGCACGAGTACAGCAAGAATGCAAGGGATATCTCTGATAGTTATCGCGGTCGAATTCTTCTTTTTCGTGTTTTACGTAGGCACCAATATATTACTTTTACAAAAAAGTAAAAATTGTTCCAGTCACCATAAAGAATTTTTCAGAAGAATGTTTAGCATATATCCATATGAATATATGATATCTTTATATAGTTATTTTAAACAATATAATATATAATAGTATATACCATAAAGTAACTCGAATGGTAATAACCACGTTTTTGTTTTTGACGTTAAGAAAAATACAAATAATAATGCCAAAACAATATTATAAACGTGTACGGAATTTAATATTTTGCGTTGGTAAACTTGCGTGTTTTTTTTATAACTGTGACGTTTACACAACATTCCAAAAATATGATACGAAACATTTTTGCATATTAAAAGTTTTTCTTGTCCGTGTTATAATTTAAAGAGAGTATTATTTGCACGCCTTATAGTAATAGATAACCTATACAGGGTGGCAAATAAGTATTGTTACCATATATATACGAGGTTTGGCTATTAAATAACAAGACTGCGCGCGCAGAGAGCGTCCCAAAAAGGTTAGGAGAAAACCGAATACAGCACTGGTTAGCTGGAAGTGTCTATTATGCCAGTACAAAATTGGGTTTTTGTTGGTGCATTAGTATTTTTTCTGTAGCGTTTAGAAACGAACATGTTTTTTTCTATTGCCGAAAACGATGTGTGACGAAAAACATGAGCAACGGATAAACGTAAAATTTTCTCGTTAAACTAAAAAAAACTCCAACTGAGTGGTATAAGTTGTTAAAAGAAGCCTATAGTGAGGATTATCTATCCCGGGCACGTGTTTTTGAGTGGCATAAATTATTTTCTGAAGGTCGAGAGTGCACCGGAATCCAATTCAGTCGTAAACCAAATTCAAAACCATGCTGATCGTTTTCTTCGATATCAACGGCATCGTGATGACTGAATGGGTCCCAGAGGGTCAAACTGTGAACCAACATTACTATTTGACAGTTTTAGCAACATTGCGCGAATGAGTTCATAAGAAAAGGTCGATATTGTGGAAAAACAAGTTGTGGATCTTGCACCAGGATAAAGCGTGAAACGTTATTTGGCCGCTTAAGGCACTCCAGTACTCGAACACGCGTCTTACTCACCCGACTTGGCACCCTGCGACTTTTACTTGTTTCCGAAGATAAAGTCTGCCTTAAAAGGAATCCGGTTTGAGTCGATGGAAGAGGTGAAACAAAAATCGGCNAATAACATTTTCGACTAAAATGTAATCAAAATTGCAAATATTTTTAGTAGGAAGAGAAATGAGTGTTTAAAAAACTTTCGAATTAGAGTATTTTGTCGAAATCCTCTTGTTGACCCTAGAGCAGTTCGGCGATTACTTGTGTTTAATCGGAATGCAATTTGACCTTATCTGGTATTTTATCTCGGTCGATTGAAAAAAAAAAATAATAAACCCAAAATTATTTTATACCGTTTATTCTGTATCATTTAACGGAAAAAAGTTAACAATTTCTCTTTTGGATTTCGAAAAAGTCCAATATAACGGTAAAACTGTAAGTCATATTATTATGCGTACATAAAAATCGAATATTGTATTACGGCACGCCGATCAAACATTCGATATTTATAACAATAATATTTATTCGGTCGTCACGGGTACGTAACGCGGAAAATTTATATACAGCGATTTGCAAATCTTGATATTCTTCATTGTACGCATTTACGATTTCTTGGCACATATAGATTTTTCTATACATACAATTTGTTTTCGCGTACTTTTTGATGCGTTGATCATTAATTAATATTATACATTTTTCGTTGCTTACTATTTATAATTCAGAGGTTTTTCTCACGTTTCTAATATTTATAAAACATTTTCATATAATTTTTTTTTTTCTGTGTGTCAATTGACAGTATTATTAGTTCCGGATTGTCCACCGTCGTAAGTATTTATTTCTTTTTTATCAATATTTAACTTTTAAGAGAACGCGATAATATTATGTTTTCCCGCATTTTGTGGTGTTTTACTCGCCTCCGTCAAATGTACAATATACAGCATTTGAGTTCAACGAGACGATTTACACTGTTGGTTTTAACGTTAGACATCGAATTGACAAAATCACCAGCAAACTCGAAGTTACGAAACATAATCCGTGTTATTATAAATTGATTGTTTTACTCTCGGTATTTTAATTTGATAAGCGATGTATTACTAGGACATATAATAAATATCGCAATTAGTAAAAATTCACAGGTAGGTACCTACGATTAGTCGAGAAAAATTAAAATATCGAGAAAAAACCAATACATACCTACACAAAAACAGAATTTGATAATGTTCTGACCTTTTGATAAGTTTGATTGAAAATAATGACTGTTAACAATTCAAGCGATCTTTGAGGTATCCGAGTTCAATCTTTGACGAAAATCGTTAACATTACGGTATTAAAAAATATGTTAAACCGAACCTCGCTCACAATCGTACAGATATAACCTAAATAACTTTATGTATATTACCTTCTCGAATTTTCACTTACACCAGTGTCACACCCATAAACATATTCAATTAAAAAGATATATATATAATAATGATAAAACTGTAGTTTTGCTGTCTGTTATAATAAAACATATTATGATCATTTTTGTAGAAATATAACGTTAAACATCATGTCGAACTACATGGAATTTGTTGTTGCAATGGTAGAACACGGATCACTAAATGTAAACGGTGAGTTTAGTAACAAATGCATAGATGATTTTATAAATGAAACTTCCACAGAATAGTACATCGTTCTATCGTATAATCACGAATTAATTCAACAATTAGATAAGAAAAATTACTACTAAAAACAATACATTTATTCTTTGTTAAAAATTTAGAATTTAAATGATTTATGTGTATTACTAAATACGACTTTTTTTTCATGCGTCTATAATCAATTTTGGTTACATAAATCTCACACTGATAAATACATGTGTACAAGAACTTTCTTGTAGATTAACATTCAGTTTGGTGATTAGTAAACAATTTGTGTAACCCGTTAATTTCCAATCGGTTATTTTACAAAAATTAAACACTCCGTTGTGTTTATTAGGAAATGTTGATGTTGAATTATCGAACGATACGGTTAAAAAGTTTGACTACGAAGAGGCCATCATCGATTTAATGAACAGAGCATTGTCATTGACGGGACGGCGTCCGTTGAAACGGGAATTACCGAATGAGTTCACAAACCAGGTTGAAAATAGAATAAAACGTCAAAAATTGGAAGGTGGCGTCATAGTAACGGCTGCGGCTATAAAAACAAAACTATCGTGTTTTTTCGAAATTGTTTCGCGGGCACCTAAACGAGGGTATTCAGAATTAGTATCATCAGACACGATCAGCACACCAAACAATATCGTGACGTAGTTATGTGGTAATAAACTTGTATACAACCAGTGGCGTGTCCAGGAATTTCCTACGGTAGAGGATGATGTAATAGCGAATATTAGTCGTAAACAAATCTTACAGAATGCTTCTTCCCTGTTCGATTCTATGATGTCAATTTCAAGGCCGGATCTACAAATAACCGTATTCCGATAACCGATATGTCGAGTTTTTCCCTTTTAACTTAGCCGAATAGATAATAGTTATGCAGTTATTAGGTATACTAAACAAATAACTATATTACGTATAGATGTTGTATTCGAAAGACACCTTGTGGGAAGAGAGTACGGCCCCCAATCACACCCCATCTGCGCAGGCCACTGTTTACTACATAATAGTACAATTATTATTATTGTAATCATTATTACCGTTATAATTAAATTCAATTTTGTTTTCCTTTTTACATTAGGATACATCAGAACATTATTCACCACGAATAAATATCGCACTCAAGAAACAATGATCTTTTATGACGGAGTACTCGGTACATCGTTGTTTTTCATAAGAAAATAATATTTTGTTGTTGGACTATTGTAGGTATTTCGTACTCCATATTATTTTGTACAAGATTTAGTATTAAAATCCGATTTTACGTGATGAACATTATTTTGGTATCCTATTTATTATGATTTACAGGTTTCATCGGTGCAAGTTTTGAATGTTCGCGATGCACGACAACAGATTAATACTATAGCTGTGTCGTTTTTTCATCAAACAATGTTAATTTTTTTTCTTACATTTAAATTTAAATATATATACAAATTTTGTACTTATAAATTATTGTTGAACCCGTAGATAAAAAAAATGTAATATTTAAACGTATTACAATTTGGTTAAATTTATTTTGTACACACACCAAATTTTTTGGTATTTTGTTTTGTTTATTAATTATTCACGGATTAAATATTTAGTCGATTCTAATAAAATACTTATTGGGTATATTCGGGGATGCTAATTTTAAACTTGTGGATACTAAACACTTTAGCGTCCCCCTGTTGCGCCCACGGTTGTACACTGTTTTAACTATAGATTTTTAAGTTTCTAAACGTAATTACAAACACCTTATATCCTTCTTATGTCCGTCCGTATAGTCTACTGGTAATAACCAATACAAAGTTACGATTGTTGATTGTTGTCGACGCTTCGTCATAGTTACTAACACATAGTTAAGATATTGTTAAATTATTTTAAACAGTTATGGCGATAGGGGTAACGAGCAACGCCGTTTGTTCGTAGTAATAATGGTAAACCAATTACATTTGATCTGATCCAAATCCGTGACGGGGTTTAATTTAATAAGGTTAATAATGGACAAATAAAAGTCATCGAATTATCTTAAGTTCTCATGGAAACGAGAAACTATGTATTTGTTTTACAATAATGTTTTTTTTTTTAATTTTATTTTTTACACTGTGTATAAAATTCCTTCTAGAAATGTCACTCTTCCAACAAAACATGACAGATTTTGACTCTAATCGGTACTTTATAAACGTCATATTTTGAAACTCTTATTAATATGCGAGACAATTAGGAGTAACTGGTTCTTTAGGTTAAACAAGGTTAATAGAAAGGTTGCCAATAATAAGTTACCAATGGCAATTGGTAACTGTTTTTAATTTATTTTTAATTTTTTTTTTACTTTTATCTTTGAATTTTTTTAAGAATTTGTAATTTGAAATTCTAAATGTAATTTTCCGTTTTATTATATTTTGTTAAGATGAGTACAGTGACAATATTGAAAGTCTATACAATGAGGTGTGTAAATAAAATAATGAGACTGATAGCGTAACGTGCAATTTAGCAACACTGAAGGTTTTCCTTTTTAAGAAGTGGCTGGTAGGTTAACGGTCAACACCTAATAGGTCTTCAATACGAGTTTAAATTCACTAGAGTCACGTGTGTTAGTAGGTAGCTATTGTTTTCGTAAACCGATATTTTCAAGTGCATTGTGCTACGGTGTGCTCTCCAATTTCACATCAGACTTGTTTACAGTACGACGGAACTACAGCTCTAACAACTTCAGCAGTCGTATAAAAACTGTGTATCTTCAAGGGTTTAGAGCGGTTTAAAAAGTTGACGGCTGATAGTCGATTGAAGACGAACCCTGTGCTCCACGCTAGTACATAAATGATGCTCCACTACTCTCCTCTACACACATTTAAAAGTCGAACGGCTCGTCAATAAAATGTTCATGCGAGTTACTTCGAGTAAATTTATTGCCTCTGAGTTTATGAAATTTTTTTTTTTTTTTTCAATAAAAAATATTGTGGGCTCAGTGGATAATACACTGAAATAAGCGTAGCAGTCAACGTGTTAAAGCTCTTATAAAAAATACATCCCTCATTATACGTTATCTTATATTAGATGTATAAAACGAATAAAGTTTAATATATAGAAATTTAAAACGCCATTAATTAGGCCATTTATCCATCATAATCATATTTTAGCAGATTCACCAAAACAGTATTGTAGGAGATCAATTTTTTCGCCATTTTTAGACTACCTTTAAAAGTCAATTAATTGAAAGATTTATAAAACACGTTATATTGTTTCTGGTTTGCGAAATTTGCTGACAAGTTCTATAATTAAATTAAATCCAAGTAGCGATGACTTTGAAAAATGTATTAATTCGTACCAAAGCTTTTTACCGACATAATATGATGCTTTTAAATTCGAATTGAAGGTGTTGATCAAAAAATATAAATCGGTACCCAATGAAGAACTCTCAAAAGCTGCAATCGATACTATAGGCGTTATTGCGACGGACCATTATCCATTTGAAGTTTACCGTGTAGAATCCATACTTGCAATACTCCTAGTGTCAAAATGAGACAGTATACTTTTTAAGCAGTATGTTCATTTTTAACTTTAAGAAAAATAAAAACCTATTGGAGGAATAGTTATAATAAAGCTCCGATGTATCCCAATAAATATAGAAGAAATAATCAATATACTTTCTAAAATACCACACAAGGTTACCTTTGCTTTAAAACTGTATTGAACCATTTTTTTTTGTTGCATTAAAGTTAGTGGAATAATTTTTAAAATAAAACCATTTTTCATAAGCAGTCTCGTTATTTAATAGCCAGACCTCGTATATATGTATATAATATAAGAGATTACTGATAACTAATAAATGGAAATGTATTCTATAACAACTAAAATAATGAAAACGCAATTACGTATATTTATCTATAATTAATGGAAAATGTATAGTGCGGTTTGCAAAGATCATTTTTAAGGCCTTTTTTACGAAGTTTTAGACCAATAAACTAAAGTATACACAGCCATTTGTCCATTTCGAAAACATGTCTGAATTCTTTGATTTCTCGGCAATAGTTTTGTGGGAAATATTTTTCAGTTTTTCCATTTGGGTCAAAACAGTTAAAACATATAGAGACTGATGAGTTTTTTTTTAAATAAACACGCACTTAAAATTGTCATAAAAAAAAAAGATTTTTTTCTACAAAACACAGAAAAGAAGTAGTCAAAAGTAGAATTAGACTACTGGATTTTTATTTATTTTACTCCAGCTTATTGGTCTAAATACATAAAAAACGAATCGTTTTCAACGCTTATTGTTAATTACACCTATATTTTAAACGAAATATTATTTCTTATCTTTGTCAATATGAATATAATTGGAGTTTGTAGTAGATAAAATTCGTGTGAAAAAAATATACACAAATTTTATAAGTACGATAAATATTTTTCTTAATTCTCTTAAAAATTAAAAAATATGCAAAATTGATCAATGAATATCAGAATAATCTTAAATATGCAAATGTCTCGTTTGAAAAAAAATGCACAAGAAATTACAAATTACTGACAATATTTAATAATATTAGCAGTGAGTGATTTTTTAACAGATACCTATACCTTAAAACTAAAATTTTAAATTCAAAGTTAGTATTTTTTTTCCGCATAGTTTACAACATATTTGAAAATATAATAAATATTTCCTAACTTCTGAAGTATATATACTCGGAAATGTAAAACAAAAAAATTAAATAAAACGGTTATCTCTATGAAGAATGAATCATCTACAGATTTTATTCTCATATAACTAAAGCTGGGCAAGTAAACACAATTTTTAAACAGCAATAAAAAAAAAAACTAATCTATGTTGAAGTTAATTTAAAAATACAAATGAATTTGAGTATAAATTGAATTACATATTTTCAGGAAAATAATTACTTAGGTAAGTTAAAAGTTATTTTCCAATTCGCATCTATATAATAGCGCAAGAGAACCCATAGGTGACATTTTAGGAGGGGCGAAATTAAAACAATTTCTAAAATGTATGCTAAATAAAGGTTTAACGTTATTTCAACATGTATAATGCACATGTAATAAGTAATATTATTTTCAGAAATCGCAAATGTCCCGTCTTGCTCCCACGCCAAGCAATAGTGGTACATCCATCAGTCTTTCTTATTCCAAAATATTAATAATTAGAAAATCCGTAAAAACTTAGTGGCTATCTTTTTGGTAATTTAACTAGCATAATACGATGACTGCCTGAGAAGTAGGTACTTACGTACTTACTTAAGTATAAATCTACGATTTTATATGACTTTAATGAGAATACTGATACAGATACCTACTCAGGTTAACCTCAGAAGGTAATTCTCAAGGAAAACCTATGCGTATTAACGAATGACAAAAATCCAACATCGGCTAAGTTTATAATATGGCACTGCACTTCTATTCAAAATAAAAATAACACTGAAATAGGGAAGTGAAAGTAGCGACGAACTGAAGTACCAAAGATGAAAAATATGAAAACTTCAATTATTTTCATTTTTGGTACGACGGTATTTTAATTTTTCTAAAGTCTTATTCGTTTTAGATTTTCTGTTTAAGGGTCCGTATTCTTGATATCTTCCTTTATATTTTTTATACATTGCGGATCAGAGCTGACTTCATATTTTTCAGTATCTTGAATGAGTGATATATTTAAAGGCGCTTAACAATTATTTTTAAAGAACCATTTCTAAGAAATTTTACATCTTCATAATCCGGATTTACAATCACAGATGGTCTGCATTTCGGTGGTTCTTCTGCAGTATTTGACTTCACAGCTAAGTTGTAGGTTCAGATTTTAAGCCATTAGATGGAAGTTTTATTTCTATAAAACCTTTTTATAATCCACCATTTAAATTTTTTTAGAAAACTTTTTTCCTCATAACTTTAATTTTAGGGAGCTTTTCCTGAATATCAGTGTTATTTATTTGAAGTTTGATATTTTCAGGACGTCTAATAAAGCATAGTCTAACATGTAACTGGCCATGACTAAAAAGAGGTTGCGGAAGATATGTCCTACTGAATCAAATGTCTGTCCTTAGGATTTATTGAAAATCATTGCATATGATAGAAGAACTGGGATTTGGTTCCTTTTCAAACAATGCAGTCCTGTACCACTTTAAGTGAGATCATAATGAATTTAAATTTACTTAGCAACATAGGTACATTTCTGTGAAACTATAACAAAAATTATATTTACTTAGCAACACACATTATCAGATTATAATAAAATAGTTTTTAATATAACAATCAAAACCCCTACAACCTTCTAGTGCCAACAATTCGGGTCGTCTAACACGAACAACCTTTGTGATGCAATATAATACCCAAGTGGATCCCAAATCTACATGCGAAAACAGTTAGGATCTATCTCGAGTCGTTTTTCCACAATCGCGAATTCAGTTTTATAACGTACAAATGATATTAGAAATGATTATAAAATCAGACTTCCGTCGGCGTTGTGTAGTGTTTTTGTTGTACCCCCGAAACACAGAGACTATCATCGTCATACTCGACTCGTATACGGTATTATTATGTAGATCGAAGGCCGTTGACCGTCGTTGGTCGGGTCTATTGTTTTGTGAAGTTGTATATCGTGTGAGACGAGCAATATTATTGTCGTTATTATTTTATTATTATATTATAATATTATGTACGCGACGGCACTTTGGCGTATTCGTATCACGTAGTCCGGGATCCCGACGACCGTTGCCAAGAAAACCGCGTTTGTATATTCACACACTGCGGTGCGGCCAGTGGATCTCACGCGCTTTCGTCGTCACACGATATCCGAATATTTGCATAATTTGTAACCTGTGCCGTTTATACCTTACTTTAACCGAGAAAAACGAAATAAGGTAGGATACATAGAGTTATTTAATGTATGGTTATACGCAATGGTAAATCATAGCTAACGAAATACGATTCTGAGCTGAGTTCGGTTTAAACTTAAACCCTTCGGTTTAAACATCGTTTAAACGATGTTTTTACGATTAAAATGGCAAATACTAAATAGCTCAAAAATCTTCAGTATGTTTTTAAAATGATAGGTTTATACGATTATTTTTACCTGAATTACAACTAAATAACCATACATAAAATAATGAAATCATTATTGCGTTGTATACTGTCCCGTTGTATACTATATTTTTTGATTATAAAACTATAAGGAAAATCAAAATTAGTAGACCAACTAAATATAATACTTCCATTTTCGGAACAGTATTTCTGATAGCAAAGTTGTTAAAAGACAGAAAAAAGAACACACATAATAAAACAACGTAAATTTTTGGATGCACTCAGAATCTAAAAATAAAAAACAGACAAACTTTGCACTACCGGGTGAACCACTGTTGTAGGTTAGAATTTCAAAAGGTAGGATACAGAGAATAAATAAATAAATATCTTTATATATACACTTAATCATTAATAACGAAAAACGATTCTAAGCGGAGTTCGGTTGATAGTATTGCTTTTTCAACAATATTTATGTTACATTATAGTAAAATAAATACATATAATTGAAAATTTTAACGCCGTCGTAAATTTGCCCATTTGTGTGTTTTGCCTTCTTTGATTTTTCCCTATTATTATGAAAACTGCTCAGCAAATCGATAAATGTTTTTCTTTGTCACTAACTAGATACACAATTCTACAAAAAAAGGTCTCGTGTTATTTTTTGATTAGAGCAAGTTTTCTAGAAGATATGTTGTACACAGCACACTAATCAAATTAAAAAAAAAAACCAATACATTCCTGGTTTTGCTCAGAATCTGAAAATGAAATAAATATAATTTATGCCCTTGAACGATGATATTGCAGTCATCGTATACGACGACGGCCACAGTAATATTATTATGATCGAAATCGTACCACGGGTCTTTTCGAACGTCGTCGTCGTCCTCCTCCTGGCAGACGGCGGCGAATGCCAACTGCAGCCGGAAATGTGCGTGGACAGACCTTGGTCGAAGACCGGCATCGATCGACTGCGGGTGCGGACCGTCGACGTCCCTCTGGGCTCGGCCGTGTCGTTGCTGTGCAACTATTGCGGCGAGAAGGACAAGGGCGAGGCCAGATTCTGGTACACATCGCACAGGTAAGTGTTATCATCATCGATAGTCTCTGTCGATGAAAAAAAGGCTCTGAAAAAGCATTGTACTGGGCTATACAAAGGTTCAAGTGGCCTGATATCTGATTTTGTCGGACGATTCACGCGTTTACGAGCCTTTTTTTATCGACAGAACAAGCGTATATATTGACGTGGGCGTCGATCGGGCGGTAAAAGTCTCGTACGATGCAGATACACGGGTGGAGATCGGAAAGAAATCACCCTGGGAATGGCCGACCCGGTGGAATCGAATCGAGTGTACATGACTTCTGATCATTCGCTGGTTGTCCGGAACTTGAGCACCGCGGACGTTGGCCGGTACTCGTGTTCCGGTCTTGGCGACGACGAACACGTTGAATTCGCTCTGGACCTGACGCCCTCGACCGGTCGCACACACGTGACGGCCGATTCGACGGCCGGTTGGCTGAAATACGAGACGTCGTACTTGAAGCCGGTAGTGAAAGCATTTCCCGGGTCCCGACTCGTTGTCGAAGTCGACTGGGACGCTTGGGGGCTGTGCGACGGATGCGAAGGAAAACGATACCGGAGGGCAGCCTGTCGAGCCCAATTCGACGACGGAAACCGAACGGCTTGCAGGTAGAAAATCCATGTGACTTTTTGGGTAAAAATAAAAAAAAAACTGGACATACTTCGCACGGTGGGCCACTGTTGTAGGTGAGAAGTTGGGAATGTAGAATGTAAAGGGGAATTCAATGAATATCTGCTGTACGCCACGATTAATCCTTGATGACAAAAAACGATTCTGAGCTGAGTTCAGTTATATATGTTTTAAAAAACCGTATATTTACGATTTTTGTCAACATTTGATATAAAAATTCTTATAAAAATAAATATTCTTAATTTTTTTTTGTCACAAAGAATGACTTATGACTTAAGAGTGAACTTCCTGTTCAATTTTCAAGCATTTCTGTTTGGTCTAACAATTTTATCCACAGAGTATTTACTGAATAAAAATTACGTAAAAAACTTTTAAATTTTAAATGACTATAAATAGCTCAAATAAATGGGTAAACTATATTGAAAATTTTACGACGTCTAGAAACAGCAAGTATAAGTTTTCTGTATACATTTCAAGTTTCTACAAATATTTTAACTATGTCACAACAAAAAACAAAATTGAAAATAATACATTTCGTAAATATTCGCGTTTTTCCCCAATTATTATAAAAATCGCTTGGAAAATTAAAAACTTACCTCTTAATGTACCGCCCAGATAAAATTTGTATTCAAAAAAGGTACTTTACTTGAAAATTGAGCAAAATTACTGATAGAAAAGTTGTTTACGGCAAAAAAAATTATCATTGTAAAACCAATACATTCCTTGCTTCGCTCAGAATCAAAAAGAAATGTATAAAAAAAGCTGATAGTGCATCGTAGCCTAACCCATCAGGGTATTGTTATGGTTTTATAGTAATACAGAATAAGAAGAATCGGTTTAAATTCTGAATGCAACAATAAATCACTGCAAACAAAATACGATTTTATTGGAGTTGGGTTTAACTTTATATTTACTAAATAATAAATACAAATATTTCTTAGTTATTGTTAATTGCAAAATAATTTACAAATTTTCGTGGTTTGTACGAGTTTCATCAAAATTTGAACTTTGAACGTTCATTTAAAAGAATGTATGACAGTATTATTTTTATTTTTAATATTAACAACAATCTACAATGAACTTGTTATTAAATTTTCCAGATTTTATACACATAGTTCAGAAATGTTAACCACATCAATAGAAAACCACCCCTCCCTAAAAAAAAAATCGAACATTTTAAATACCTAGCAATATAAATTTATAACGATTCCGACATATTCAGGTTCTGCAGTCATTTATATTTTTAACGGACATTACAATAAAAAGCACCAAATATTGCACTCGTTAGAGGTCTGTAACTTTTGACGGGCCGACGATAACGAACGCTATTGACGAAGATAACGAACGCTATTGACGACGATAGTTCAAACGGGGGGGGGTTGCTATATAAGGATGTTTTTTTTTTACTTTCGTAGTGGTCACCATGAAGGCTCTTTCCTTTACATCAATATAGTATATGACAATGTAAATAAAAAAAAAAACACCCGCGTTCCGTCATCATACAATTTTGTCTAACCACGTCACCGTGATATAGATACTTTCCGAGAAGGATTTTAAAACAACCCCATCGTAACCGTACAGGTCTCATACAAAACCATACAAGTCTATTCTAGGAACTGTACAATAAACACCCTGTTGTCTCAGCGATCGTGCCTAATGATTCAGGACGCGATTAAAGCGTATAATCTCAATACCAACATATCGTTTGAGAGCACATCAAGCCTTACTAATTTGTTTATTATAATACAGGGTTGAGTAAAGTATAATATCATATTCAGTAATTATATATGCACTGTGACGTATAGAGTTACATTATAATTTTAGGCTTTGGGTATCTAATTACTAGTTGTATAGGTATTAATCAAGTGTATAGGCACCTAACTTCGTTACTTCGTTACATCAGCACTCAATAGCTATCATAATATAGATGGCAATATTTTCATATGACACTGATAAAAATATTGCCATTCATAAATCGAGATTAATGATTAATAACATTTTTAGTATTAGTATATAAGTATATAGATCCAAGGGAACAGGGGGGTTACGTACTGAAAATAATTTTAGTGACATTCAAGGATAAAGAAAATTCATTGACTCAAAAATATCATAAAATATAAAAAGTGATGCCGTTTTGTGTATCACGGGCATTTATTGCGTGAACGTGAATTTATTTTTCGAAAACGTTTGCACGCAATAAAGAAAAAATTACTCTTCGAAAAGTGATTTTAGAATATTACTTAATAGTAAATGTGTGATATCATTGAATCATGTTTGCATTAACGTCCAAACCTCTATATTGTGCATTTTTTTAATTGAATTTTAGAAAAGAGCGCGGAACCTTACAGTATTTGTATACCCTCAAAAAAACTTGTGTTGCATTTTCAAACATCTTTAGGAATTTATACCTATGCCACGATTTAAATGGGGACAATTTGTCCGTGGGATATTTTTAATGTAGGTTATTTCAATATATGTGATATTCTGTGGGGGAGCCGTCTTACCGTATTAATGTTTGTAATACATAAATATCATGGATAATATAATATAATATAACAACACACATTTTGTGTTCACCGTGTGACCACCTAATCGCGCGCTATAGTCTAACATGGTTTTATAAGTATAGTAAAAACATATTTTTAAGCGAATGCCAAACACGCGCAATATTTTTTATAGTCAATAAATAATAATATTAATATTATTATACTTATGCATTATTATTATTATTATAATAATAAATAATCCGTTTTTGGTTCGTGTTCATCCGTGCTCATTAAATAAATGAGAATGATTGAACACGGATAATAAATGGCATGTATTTTCATTCATTTTTCTTTTTTTATTAACGTATAGGTCGATAAGTTTACCCAGGACCGTTTCACCCGCTCTGGCCGCTACTCTGTCATCGATTCCTGATTTTTTGCTCGGCGAAACGTGTTACACGTATTGTCAGTTGCCGACCGGGCATCGCCGATTTCCCAAGTACCGGAACACGTTCGTGATGGAAGAAGGCTCCAGTCTGACGTTGGTGTGCGCCGAAGCGACCACGGACAAAAAGGTTATCCATAGCACCTTAAGGCTTTTGTTAATACTTGTTAATCATACAATAAATAGCGGTTTCGAATCCATCTCGGAATAATTTGGGCATAGGTGGAGATTAGAGAAAATTTTAGAGGGAGATGTTATGGGCTATTTTAGTGATTAGTGATGTGAAAAAAATCATCATTATATAATACTATTATGCTGCAATGTCCCACATAAAAACGTAATAAGCCATAAAGATAAATTTTTTTAGGGGGGGCGAGAATAATTTATTTATTTTTAATAATTTTGAAGGTACAACGGACGATTTTGGGGAGTCTCCCCAAGTCAGGACGAATCAATCGGTACGCAACATTTCACAACACTGGATCACTGGATAGAAACAGATCTAGACGTACAGTCATTATAGCACCACTCTTGAGATCCTCTATTCATTAAATGATGATTTTGACTATAAGAAACATTGTTGCAATCGGTTAGGTAGACGGAATGTCTCGCGCACGCCCTGCTAACGACGTTAAAACTGGATTTGGCGATCAAAATTCATCTGACCGCATTCCAAATGCGTACAAATATTATAATAGCATAATAATACCGCGGAAAACCCACCAAGACGATCACGCGTTCTTCGCATTTTTGTTTTAAGCCGTACTTATTATAATATAATACTCGGCTCGTCTCTAAATTAAAAAGACCTTCGAAGACAACGACACGACGTATATTATATTCGTACCACGAGAAACATAACTATTTCTTTTTTCAAACAAGTTTTCCAAAAATAAAAAAAAGGTATGAAGTTATTAAAGTTATTCGGGTTTTTTCCGTATAAAAAGTAAAATTGGTTTCACGAGTCATTCTGGGGATTTCAAAAAAGGTTATCTTACATACAAATAAAATGCATACAATTTGACCAACTGCGGACTATAAACTTGGAAAAATAAAATAAAATATAATAGAATTTTGATGGTTTTAGAGGCCACGCGAAATTATTCGAAAATTATCAAAATGACGTCAAATCGCATAACATTTTCTAAAAAAATGCTGATTTTTTTTTAAAATGCTATCATCCCGTTATAGAATAATAGCATAATAATATGTCAGATGATGTGTGTGACGCGGTTATGGTATGCGTGCGATAAGACTATGACGAAAATCGATTTTTTTTTTTAAATTCAATAAACAATAATTTACCGACCAATGACATTTTAAACGATTTAAATGATTTATACGCAAACAACTTGGAATTTAGGGTCTTTTTAGTAAAAACGGTTTTCAAAAACAGAATTTAGGATTTTGTTTCCATTTGATCACTCCTCGTTATTGATATCGTTTGCGTAACAGCTTCGGATTAAATTTTAATAATTTAATTAAAAATAAAAACAGTTTTACGAGCTTAGTTATTTTGAAACGAATACAATTATTATAGGTATATATATTTATCCATTCGATTTGTTCATTTTAGATTCTGAGTGTAGCGGTCAGAAAACTCTAAGTATTATCAAGATATGTTATTATTTCGAAAAATACTTTTTCGGTTAGTAAAAATACTCCAAAACTTTCACAGCGTATACCGTCATATCTGTTTTGTAGTATGTAAATTATTTGGCCCATTTTTCTGGATTCTTAAAAGTTTTTCAAAAAAATTAATACATTCAATGAAATATATAAATATCGATTTTGGATGAAATCTATAACACACTCAGAAATCTGCAAGTTAGGAACTTAGGTGGACAATTACAAGTACGATATAATTTCGAAAATGGAATTTTTAGTTTCAATTAATTCTTAAATCTATATTGCTCACATTTAAGTTTTGAAATTTTTACATTGTATTTTTAGATTCTAAGCGTAGCGAAGTTGATTTAAAAATGAGGTGTTTTTTGTTTATCTGTGAATAACTTAAAATCTTGCTCTGATTTTAGAGGTGGTTTCTGGTAGCAAATGTTGTCAAGTTGGTGTATTGAGAAGATTATTTTTTATGATTTTCTTTTTAGATTTTTTAAATAATTTGGAAAAATAAGATTACAAGATTTCAGATTTCAGCAGTCAAATCATCAAAAAAAAAAAAAAATAAATAACAATAATAGAAAATATGGTAGTATCTTAAATCAAAAAATAGTTCAAAGAGTTTAGAAGATGAATATGGATGCTTCCCGTAGGTCATCTGTTACGTAATAGCCATGCAATTAAACGATTCCGGTCTTCTGGTGCGAAATTTTCCTTTTGGTTTTTGTTTTTTTTTATTATTATTCGGTTAGAAATCATCGTTGGGTCCTGAAATGTTCACCGAATTAGTACTAATCAGCACAATCTGTATCAACCCTTTCTAGACGTGTTCAAAGTTTCAAAAACGGTATATCAATTTTACGCTTTTTTTAGTCAATTTAAATTTTCGATAATTTTTTTATTTTGTACTTGGTTCTATAAAAATAAAATTTTTTTGGCCAGAAAATATGCTCAACAATTCGATACTAGAGTCTTCATAAATTGTACCTTAGTGGTAAACATAATAATTTATACAATGTAGTAATATTTTTTATAAGCGTTTTATAGAGTGAAAATTGTAATAATCGTGGCATTTTAAAATTGGTTTAAACGAACTTCATTCAGAATAAGTTTTATTACAGAATATACAGAATAACTATAAATTAAATTATTCTACACGTTATATTCTGTTTTTCCATCTTTCCATTTATAACAGTAGCACACTTATTATCAGTATCAGATCTTTTTTTTTAGACATCCGGGCACCCCTATTGCCTAATTAAACAGGGAAAAGACACACGTTTTTTTTTTAACTTTTCTAGTTTACTGATTTAAACTTATGAATTCTACGTTACCAACATCCCAACACCTATAAAATATACATGTTATATTATACAACAGTGAACAGTGCCATGACTCAAGGTGCGAAGTATGGCTGGCTTTCGTTTCTAAATTGCCGAGGTTGAAATTTTTCAATGAACCCATATTTTTATTTTAGTTCAGTTTAATTCCATTTACTGACTTAGTCACTGTTTAAAATTTAATGAAGGTTTCCATAAACGTACAAAACTGACTTAACATTTGGTGGGTTATAGGTGACTTGGAGAAGAAATGGACTTTTGTTGGTGGAAGATGTTGATGCCATCGATGCGTCAGGAGCGTTTTTGGACGTATTTGGAACATTATACTTGGTCGCGATTACTTCCGGTGATTCCGGTAATTACTCGTGCTACATAGACGGCAACCGGATCCAAGAAGTGTTGGTGTTCGTCCGCCAATCGTCTCGACTAGCATCAAAATCGTACGCTCGACATCTAAACTATTTGTATTACGTCTTTGCGTTGTATTTTGTGGTTTTCAGCGCCCGGATCTATTATGCTTTTCTCAACCGCCATTCGTTTTTGGAAATCACTGACAACGACGTATTGAAACCCGAAATTTCTACTCCTTATTTAGGCAAAGAAATTAGAATTCGTTGAGAATTTCGGTCTGCTTAAGATGCCTAATTTATTAATCTGATTATGATTATATTAATAGTTTATATGATTAGTGCTTTTTCTTGTTTGATGTAAACAAGATTTCGTCCAGAAGACTTGTTTCAATTGGAAAATGTCATAGACGTTTTCTTGTAGTATTTTGTATCTAATTTATGCATAAAAAAGTCTTTCGACCTTAGGTCCTTCATATTTTGAAATGTCTTGTGCTTTTCCCTAATAATCGAGAAAACCCGTTTTAATAAGCGTCCAAATTTTTACAAAATAGTGTGCTTTACGAAAATCTCTAAGTTATTTTTCGTAGTAAAATATTAAATTTAGTATAAAAATACTAAACGTTTAACCAAGCCTCACCCAGAATCGTATTTTTATTCGCAATGATTTATCGTGGCGTTCGGGGTAAAATTCGGAAATATACAGTATACGTACATCGAGTAAAAAATATACGCGTGATCAATAATCAATTTTATGTGGCTTGTAATAATTTATCTACCAGCTAAACGATAACAGTATATTATTACGCGAAAAACAGTGTGTACTCATAGTAATATATTCGAATTCGACAAAAAAAAAAAAAAAAAAAAAAAAAAAAAAAAAAAAAAACCGTACGTCTACCTCGATAATGATAATTGTGATCCCCATTAATCTTAATTAAACGAATAATCCGTCGTTTCCATTAAGCACGATCAGCAGGACGTACTGGCTATTATTTTAATTTTTTTTTCACGTGTAATAACCGGTTTTTCGTGGACGCGCACGATGATAGTACGTCTTGCGTGCGGACATGAATTATTATTATTATTATTCGATTCGAACGATTATATTGTGGAAAAAACAACAGGTTTCGCTTACCCCGAACAAGGCATCGTCGTGTGCGTCACAGGTGTCCCAAGCCCTTCGGAAGACCACGGTCGTGTGGGAGCCGTTTTGGGAGGAAGCCAGTAGCTCGTAGTCTTGGCTCACATCCTTTTCCGGTGTTAGACCCGCTTCGGTTTTGCCGTGCATATCCTGTGAAACAAAAAAAAAAACAAACACGTGTTTTCATTAGTATCACGTGACGTATTTCGAAGAATCGAATCCAAAAAGTAATATTATGTAAATATATTATATATTATATTTAATAATACTGGCGCGAAGAAAAGCGCTAAAATTTTTGTTAACACCATAACTAACGTACAAACAGTTAGTACGTTAACATGACAATAATAAGTTATCGTTTTGAAACTAAAACTTATTATTGTCATGTTAACGATTTAAAACGGTTGAAAAACATCAAACCGTTTTTAAATTTGAAACGATCGCACTGTAGTTTAAGAAATTTATTATTGAAATCGTTTGAAAGGCGTTCAAAACTAGCATCAAATCGTTTGTCAAATTAATATTATTAAAACCTTATCATTTAATAAGTTTTTGTTTTCGCGTTGTACGTTGGTCAATTATTATTACGCGTTGTTTCGAAAAGTCATGTCTCGATTTCTTTGTTTGAAAATTTCATCAAATAATTACTTTAAAATTAGATTTTTAAGCATATACTTTTAAATGGATTGAAAATTCCTTGTTATTGAAAATTCCTTGTTTAAAAACGGTATTTAAATAAGGGATTTTAAATTATCATAATGTTATGGGTATATTTATTGGATTCGTACGTTTTAAAAATATATTTCTTCTTCTCCTTCACCTTTATATCATCTATTTGGGGTTGGCTAAGGCCCATCCTTAGGATTTGCTAGGCCCAGGTCGAAATTTTTAATATTTTAATATTTTATTATATTTATATTATATAGAAGAAACTGGGCCCTGTTTCACCCTTTGATGACAACCCTGGTCAGATCACCATCGTCCTAAACGTCTATTTAACACGGACCTCTCACCCTGCATACAATTATTAAAAAAACCGTAAAACTTTTGAACTAAATTTAAATAAAAAGTATTTTTTTATTTTTAATTACGACGAAATAATTAACTGAATGATACCTATAAGGTATCATACCTATCAATACCTATAAAATATTAATTTCAATAATTATATTTTGATTTATAATATTTGAATACTAAATACTATACTATATTTAATAAGACAATTGCTTTGTCTGGGGCTTTTGGTTAGAAGTTAGGGACAAAAAAATTAATTGAACATAAATCTTGTTACGCACAATCACGTCGGGTAGGATTTTATTTTTTGTGCACTATAATGTTAATATGCGACCGGGTCACGTTACCGAAATCTTATCATACCAAATTCTTATAGTTTTAGAACAACTGCTGTCTCCCGCAACTATATAAAGTATACATTTTATCTTCTAAAATGCAAACAATGTTTGCAATATATACAAAATTTAATACTGTTATAAGTATAATAATTAAGTATACATTATAATATTTTATAGTGGCGTGTTATAATTTTTAACCTTATTGTTAATTCCGTATAGTTGTACAACGAGTATTTAACTAAAGTTAACACGCATTATTAATTTAACGTAATTACTATTTGAATTATAATACGCACGCAAGATAATAATAACGATTCATAAGACTTGGTATAAATTCCGAATAAAAACCGGAATTCGAATAATTGTATACATCCCCTCACATGTACGGTGTACACTGCAGCATATATATAGTCTGAAAACTATGAAAGCCACACGGCGATCAACAGGTGCGTTTGCGTTCATGGAAAGAGGATTTTTTTGTTTTTATTTCTGTAGCATACAGTATTTTATCAGTTAGGAATTTGATAAAATTGTATTTTTGAATAAAAAATAAAAACAAAAAATGACATAACATTGTTATAACTAGAGTTGGAAACATGCGTTTGTGTGTTGTTTTTTTTTTTAAATATTGTCCTATTGAATGGTTCATTTCGTGCATTATAATCATCCAACTTTTATTTTTGATATAATTGAATATATTCCCAATTTCCATTTACAAGTGCATACTTTGGGTTTCATTTTTCTGTTTTCAAGCACACATTTAACGATAGTAATAATTCAATAATAATATTTATTAATAAATTGGTTTCAATATTATGTATTTGATATTTGATATATTGTGTTCATATTTGTTAATGTCCATGTTGTCTATCTTTTTTGCACGTTTAGCATAAACATTCCAACGTTCCCAACCCTTGTAAACACAATTATTATTGATCCTTTATGCTTTGATTATTATAAAAAAATTAAAAAAAAAATGCGATGATAATATTATTGATTATAGTTAAGGTTCTGTTAAAAAGTTATTTTTTTTTTTGTTAATGCATTAAATGATCAAAAACAAAAAACGTAAACATAATCGCAATTAAAAAATTTTAAAAACAAATTTATTCAAAAGTTTAAACTAATATACATAATATCTCGAACATTCCTAACTAAAAATCGATTGATATTTTATAGGATAGGACAAATATTTAATAAAATAATAAATTAAATAATTATGTTACAAAATCAAAATGCCGATATTTAAACGGTCATACGTCATTCTTTTTTTTTTTCAAATGAAGTTGCGCGGAAAGAAGATAAAACACATAGGTATAGGATTGGCTTTGGGAAAATTCCTCAAGACGCATAATATTATTACCATGTATACCGACCGAATTCAAAGTGATACCCAATAGTATAATGTTATTTAAAAAAAAAAAAAAAAACATCGAATTCAAAACAATATAATGAAATTATATATATATTATAAATTTCTCATGAGAAAACGACCCCAGGTACATTATATTATTATCATTACTATTGTATATATGAGGTGATCGAAAAATCTCGTGGGAACACTGTGGGTTTGAGAGGTACACGGAAACCAGTTATATGTGTATATATATATATATATATATACATTGAAAGGGATCTATGAAGAACAGAGTGCGGTGGAAAGATTGTACGCGGTGTATTTTTTTTTTTATGTTCGTTTCCAGTCGGATCAGATAAAGGCCAAAATAAAATTATCATACAAACGACGAGTCGATGATACGTATGATACGTATAAGTATGTATAATGCAAGTTACAATTATATTCCATCAAAAAACAATAATGTTTTTTTCTATTTCGTTCAAAAACTATATTATAATAACTTTGACGCGAGGAAATATCGTGATATTATAATACGTATAATGTGGTTTTTTTTGAATATTACCATATACTTATGTTAATAATTATTGACATATTTTGTGTAATATGATTTTTTTTAGACCTTTTTTATCGCACGGAGTATCATTTGTGACTTGTTTGGTGGTACGGCGCGCGGCGTTTTATTAGTGCTCCATTAATCTCCCCCTACCTAAACTTAAAAGTGAAATATTTCGTCAACGGGTTGACGGAAATCAAAAATGTTAACAGCAAAATGTATTCAAAGTAATATTCCATCTATTTATCGTATTTTTAAAATAAGTTCTCAATTGAAAAATCAAAGTTGGTATCACCACAGGATATTCCTTAAATGTAAAAATATAAGTATTCGAAAATATTGTCTTTAACTACATTTAAAAATTCCAAAAATCAAAATTTAAATGCATGCCAAATTTAACAGAAAAAAAAAATGGAATGAGTCTGCTTAGTGAATCACAGAAACGTTTCTCCAGATTTTTCGTAGAAGTTCGATTAGGTTTTTTAAACGTCCATATAATTATGCCATCTTATAAAGAATCTATTTTATTTACTATGTTTTCGAAGTTATCCCGTGTATACCATAAACGCATACATATATTATAGGTACCTACTGACAGTTTAATATCGGATTGTATATAATGTATATTAATAACTCACGTTTTTACCTCGTGGATTCGAAAAATTAGTCTGTTTTCTTAAATGTTGATAATATGTACAACATTAACACAAATATCGAATGTTGTATGTGTAATATATATTAACAGACTCTATCCTAGTTTGACCCAAACGATGAGTAAATGCACAACCCGTCCTGGTTTTTTATCGAATAGCTAATGGTAAGGTTTGGTTTTTATTATTTAGGACACTAACAAACTCCTAAAACTCCAACAAATTTAAGTGTAGTGTAGTAAAATACACTATCCGATGAAACCGTTCTAGAACATTATAATAGTTTGATAATTTTTAGATAGGAGTTGCAGTAAAAGGAACGAATATCGAAAAATAGTACAGTTATAACCCTCAGATCTAAATTTTAAATTGCAGTAAAAATATTTTCAGAGTCGTATCCGCGAGCAGATTGGTTTGGTATATTATTATAATATTGCATCTGCTGACGGGACGTTACAAACAATAATGCCGCATGGTGGCGGTTTTTATAATCGAAGGGGGGAAAAAAATGTAAAATTATACCGGACGTAACTATTATTCACAGCACCTGCGGTGGCGGCGTCGTGGTCGTCGATGTTCCACGAGACCGGCGCGTGCTCATTTTTAAACCAGCGTTGACGAGACCGTGACGAGAGAACCATATAAGCGGGTAGGTGGTTTTTTTTTAATAACGATACTATTATAATATCCGTAGGTAACATTAAAACATAATTTCCTCCCGAAAATTACTATATAGGAATCATTGTGGGCGGTTATCGGACCGAGAACAAGATTCACCCTGTATATAGTTTAGGAAAATATAATATTTAAAAAAAAAAAACCAAAAAAATTCTGATTGTAGGTGAATAGCTTGATTAAATGCTTTTCATTTTTGAATTGGAAATCGTAATTATATTATAACTATACCTGGGTAACCTGAAATTAATTTATAACGTTTTCGTGATATTTATGAGTTATTTCACCAAAATTTAAATTTCAAATTTTAATAAAATAAAAAAAGGTCTCAATAACCTATGTTTGTTTTACTAGTTACAGGAATTTATTATGAATCTCGTATCAAGTTTACACGGAGCCTAACAAATTGTATTCGTATAAAGAAAACACACACGCACACAAAACACTATAAAAACATGAATATTTAAAATATTAAGCCATGAGAAATTAAAAACTCCACAGAACATTTCGAAAATTGTACTACAATATAAGATAATTAATTTGACGATAAACGGAGACGTTGCCTACACATATAAATATTTTCGTTTTTCCTATATCATTAATTTTTCTGCTTTCAAAATAGTATAAGGATTATTAAATATGACCACCCCATAAATGTATTAAATTCAAAAAAATTGGGTACCAGGAACCAGTACCACTGATGTCGACGATCGGAGCTAAAGTCTTCTGGTCGAAAATTTGTTCTGAGGAAAAATATACGAGATGTACGGATCGTTATCGTGTTCGTTTCCGGGCGTATAACAATGACCGGAGATGAGAGACCGACGACGGCGCACGCGGTTCCGCTTAAATTACGATATCCAACATCAAGGCTGGGCGAGTTAGATAGAAAAAAACCATATATAAGTCTAACTAGTCAAAATTAGAGTAGATGTTCAAAATAAAATTTAAAAAAAACCGTAAGACATTAAACCTATATACTGGATTTCACACGAAGTAAAAATTAACTATTATTTAGATTCAGAGGCGAATTGGGCTGCTATTTGTATGCTAAAATAGAAATTTTGTCACACTTGTGTCATACATCGACGGCCGTCCACGATATCACGAGAAGAGAAGGATTTATGGTAAACCTTAATCCAATTTTAGACAGATGATAAACTGATAATCTTTCGGATCACTCTTTCGGTCCAAAATTCAAACTGTATGTTTAAACTGGAAAAAATGCAAAATGAAGCTTAAACGATTCCGTATATAATATGATTGAAAAAAAAAATAAACAGAAATCAAATTCACTTAAAGTCCTCCGAGAAAATTTCCGATTCACATGATAAATGGAACACCTTGTACATTCTCGTCGGACTAAAAAAAAAAACTTTCCAAAATTAACTCACGGGAAAAAATAAAAACTACCACATCAACACTACAAAAGAGTAATAATAATAAAAAAAAAAAACACTAAAACCTTCAAACTTTTTCAAACGTTAAGGCGATTATTGAAAGCGTCGATTTGCTATACGTCAGTCTATCGCTCGCATCGACGCCATTACGTGGTGATTACATAGTATATTCTGTAGCGGCGGACTCAGAGCGTAGGGGAAGGGACAAAACCATTTATAACGTTTTTTTCTTTTATATGTTTAGTGTACTTACAAAAAACGAATTGAAAAATGTAAATATTTAACGTAAAATTATCATTTTATTTAGAATAAGACACTATTAACTACTGTTTGGTTATTGGAATTATAATTTGATTTGGAATTTCAGTTGTTTATCATTAGATTGGTAAGAGCGAACTCTTCCTACAAGATTTCGAACGCACCTCTGATATAAATCAAATTACCTAACCTTCTTAAATTTTTTTACATTGGTTTTTTTTTATCTTCTGTTTGTTGTTGTTTTCCACTTAGCTTAACGAACCGTAAATTTGTCGATAATAATAACAGATTTTATCGAGTTACGCGAGTAGCCCTACAGAATAATCACTGTATTACATACTACCTATTGTACGGGCGTATACTTTTTTGGCATAAAATCTCATCTTCTAATTTTAAAATTTACGAATATTTCTTACTATTAACTTCATCAATACGATCTAAAAAAAACTCCCCTATGTATTATATACTCCTCTATTTATTATATAGTATATATATATATATATATATATATATATATATATTATGATTCAAATTTAAATTAGGAATAGAAAATTAAACCTAATTATTTGTCGAATTTTCCCTGAAAATAGATACTATTGCGCTGTATTGTGTCTGTTGAAACTACATATTTCTCCGCTGATTTTCGACATTATTTCTGGTGGCGCCCTTTACTTTTTAGACCAGTGGTTCCCAATTGGTGATCCACGGACCTCCAAGGGTCCGCGTATTGATGTTAGGGGTCAGTGGTTGTGTACTACTGTATAGTGATTTCTTAATTTATTTTAATGAAATTATTAAATGGCTTTGTCGGACAGCTTACTTGGTTGATGTGCTTGAATACTTTAATGTACTGAATTTGAGTTTACAAAAAATTTATATTGATGTTTTCCATGTTGATGATAAAAATCGAAGAAACTATAAAAAAGAGTTTGAAATTTGGACAAAACGTATTAAAAAGAACTCTTTTTGTAATTTTCCGACATAACAAGTTTTTTTTGAAATCTTCAAGTGAATATCTATCACAGGAGGTAAAGAGTGAAATATATGAACACGTTTTGTTGAGCATGGCCAGAACATTAAAAAATTATTTTTATCAACCTGACCCAAACAATACATGGATAAGAATCCATTGTTCTGTGATATTGAAAAAAATGAACATTTCTTAACAGAAGGCAAAATGAATTAATTGATCTAGTAAATAATAGAACGATGAAAAATATTTTCAACGATAAAAAACTATTTGATTTTTGTATAACTGTTAAAATTGATTAAAAGCAACTGGGCGAAAAATGCTTTAAGATATTTAATCCCCTTTTGCACAACATATAGATGTGAACAGGCTTTTTCTGCTATATGAAAAACAAATATCGTAATAGACTTATTATTGTGTCTTTTTTGGATTTAAACTTTAAACCTTCATCCCTACTGTCAAATTTCCCCGGTAGTATAATATAGCAAAATATTCGGTTATATTTTATTGTTTAGCAGAGAATGCCAATTATATTATTTATTTTATTGTATGAAATAGAGAGCGAGGGAGGTGCATTCAATTCTAGAGACTCTGCTGCTCATAAGAGTTATTATTTTATAATAAACTTAATATACGTATGACAAAGAAAAAAGAAATATGTTATAAAACAAATTTATTTTTAATCTTATTGAAACACACTACTATCACATTTGTTACGTACGAATTTAAAATATAAATGTAATCCCGCAAAAAATTTTAATAACATACGCTTGCAGTGGCACAGAATATTATAATTTTACTATAATTTAATATGTACATAAAAAAACGTACGCAATTTTCAAAACTCGACGAGTCGCAGAACACGATGTCTGATTTATAGTCGTATTTTATACGCTCGTCTCGTTCAGGTTCAGTAATACCGATACATATAGGTAGAGTTCTTCATGCATAAAAGTCTGCATATAATATGCACGAGCATAAACTATATTACGTATATATTTTCTAATATAATTTTAGAATTGAGTTTACGTATTAGTATTTTATATTATGGATTGGTATATTATTACCAATTATCATTTTTTTTTTTGTACACCATAACGGAATATATACCGGTATTAAACTCATATATTATCATAATTCAATTTAAATGACACGACACAAATTTAATTAAATTCCAATTAATACGATGTCATATTATAGTTACAGGTAAAATAGTGGACGTTTTATTATTTTATTCAAATGGGTTTTAAACAGACTTAACATATTTAATTTAACAAAACGGACAATAAATGTATATAAAATAATATTAATTACGATTCAATTATTAATAAAATGAATCAATTGTTAATAAAATAATTACGACGAGAATAATATTCATAAAAATATTATAAGTCTCGATTGACTACGTGAATTAATAAGTTAAAATTAGAAATTAAAAACACAATCCTTGTATAAGCGAATGAAAAATTCGTACTCACGTATATATAAAATAGGTACACGTGAATTTACTATTTTTCAAATGAGCGCTTAGAGAAAACCCGTGAAAAATAACGTAAAATACGAAAATATACGTGTACACGGTACTCGGATTTTTGAAGTGGTTACACGGTTTTATATATTCGAATGTTGATTTTACGTGAATACGTGAAAGCGTGTACATGTGAAATAAGGAGCTATGATAATAATAATTAATATTCACCTTTATAATATTTTATACCACGGGTAGAAGAAAAATGAGTAAAACACAAAACACAAACTACATATAATAAAAAAAAACACTGGTGAGCATCTAAGTTCCCGTCACTAGAGAAGAATTTCCTCCCTGCCGACTTGTTGCTGTTATATACTTTAAAATCAAATATTTGATTTGATTTAATTGGGGGGAGGGTGGTTTGTAAGGGTGTACAAAGCTAAAAAACAATTTCCTACCGCAATAATATAGTAAAATTCAAATTGAAATTAATTCAACCGAAATTTGATCACTTCAATCTACTTATAAAACAACTGTAATCTTCAAGTTTGAACTCATTTGGTGCTGATCATTAAATTATGGTTTAAAAGTAGAAAGAAAAATATATACACAAATTCAGTGGCGGTGCCAAGATTTTTGCAGGTCAACGCACAGTCACGTAGTTATAGCATCATCGGGGTAGGGCGACCCCGGCCTGGACCCAGTAAAGTATCTGGATCATAAAGTATATGATAACATATACAGAAATACATTGAAATTAAGTTTCTTAACTTCTTTGACGCTCCTTATGAAAAATTCTCGTTGTATCCCTAGGTCTCAGTGACCAATGACCAAGGGTTTCGGAAAGGGTGGTATTAGGTGTTATGCCAACAAATATAAAAATACCTAATAATTAGGTACCTGTTGGTCGGTGTCAAATTTGAAGCATGAAACAATTCAGGAGAATTTTTTTATTTTTTTACTTATCACATTGAAAAAAAAAATCGTTAATAGTTTTTTTTAGACATAATGAATAATGAAACTGGCGTATTTATCGCTACAAAATAATATATTATAAATTAAATATTAATGAAACGAGACTATGTGAAAATGTATTATTGACACTTACCTTCTGTAACTGAGAACGAACAAATTAAATATCCCAGTGATATGTATTACGTGAGCTATTTATTATTATTAGTATTTTTCGTGAATGTTACTAGCTGCAGTTGATCCAGTTGTACCGTCCAACGTTGCCCGTGCCAATTTAATTAACCGTGTAACCGAGGTAACCCAGAAAAAAAAAATACATTTTCGTATTTCAAGACCAAAAATTGTGTACTTTATAGAGATGGCTGAAAAAAAAAGTAGACAGCGATATTCCTTTTTTGTTTCGAACGCGAATATCAAGATCAGCATTAAACCGTATAAGTTTTGGTGTAAAGAACAAAGAAACCGACTTTTAAAATTGTATAAGATTTATAAAAAAAAAAACATGAACTTTTCATAAATAAATACGTATCACCTACCTACACCGACATAAGCAACATTTTTACATTATAAACATTATACTTTTTATGTTCCCGTGGAATTATAAATCGTAGTGTCTATATATATATATAGGTACCTGTCTACATAGATACATAATAATTTCTTTGTGCACCTGACGGAATGCCGGGGGCTCTGGGCCGGAGGCGGCGGCGTACACGTCCGAAACGTGCTTCTGTTTTCGAACACGTCATACTTAATATTATTACACATTATTATTATATTATTATACTCGAAAATGACAATTTGATAAATGTCCTAAAGCCGTCCATTCTGTTATAGACACCTAGGTATCCCGTATAACCTAACCTAACCTATACCTGCCTACTGGTGCAACGTTCGTTTCGATTGCGGTGTCGGCATAAGCATCGAATTATTTTTTTTTTGTCCGAACGTTATAACTTTTTATTGTTATTGTTATATTGTTTCTTTGGTTCCAGCGAAGAAGAGCTTGAGTTAATTTTATTATAGATTCAATACGAATCGATCGAAATTTTAAAATTGCTAAATTTGGCTGCTCGAGTCATATGAACTATATTATTATGATTATTATGGCTATTTTGCCAAAAAAAAAAATTAATATCGTAGTGACGACCAAAGATGTTTTAATTTTCGGTATACCGCGTTAGAATATACATACTGAACTCATGCCATTTATACCAAACAAATTATGTAAGGTAAAATTATAAAAAAAAATATTTACTTGAACTCCTTTTCTTCGGGACCAAAGATTTATTAACTGAAATAAAATACCTATATAAATAGCTAAGTATAGTATACGATGCAAACTGAAAATCCCCGAAAAAAAAAAAAAAAAAAAAAATGAAATATTCGACTAAGGTATTTGCAGGTATTCGGAATATGTTTAGTGATGTACATTTTTACCTGATGGGCTTTTGTTAAGATATTATCGGCTAAAGAAAAGGGACGCAAGGAACGGATGAATGGATTCACGGGTATTATATATTATAGAGATCGCGCCTCTAAAACCCGCAACATCACCGATAATATTTTTCAAACTAATATCATTCTCACGGTGGTGTATAATAATATTATGTCAACATTGTTCGGCTTTCTATTTATTATAATCCGTTTCGCTTTTTTCGGTTTGCCAAAATGTATAGGTATATTTTCTGTAATAATATAGCAATGCTGAGGTTATGTTTTGGTTTTCCTAGTAGTTTTGTTGATAAATGGGAATTGGTTGGCCATATTTCGTATAATTTTTATTGATTTGTGGATTCCTTTTGGTAACACGGGAAACAAATACTAGTTTTTTTTTTATTAAAAAATAAAGTGCCTAGGTAATGTTCGAAATACTCTAGACCAGCGGTTCTTAAACTGTGGTCAGTGGCCCTCAGGGAGTCCGCGATGTTCATGTAGGGGGTTCGCTGCGGCTCTATCGATAAATATTGATTATGATAACGTGAGATATTTTGTAACAAAAAATGGTATCGGTAGGGGGTCCACGATTTCTAAAAGTCTTTCATCAGGGGTCCGTGTGCACCAAAAGTTTAAGAACTGATGTTCATCATGCATATTACGACGACGACCGCGTACGTGTTTATCATTATTATTAATTTTATAACCGTTTTAAATTTAGTATAGATAATTCGTAAACACGGCGTTAGGTTTTTAACTCAGCGGCCAGTCCTACACTCCTCCATACCGAATTATTATTACATTTAAACGTACAAAACTAGCCTGGTCGATATAATATTACAACAATAATAATATGCCTACCGCTCCCATGGACGTGAGCTGTTTATATAATTATTATTATTTTTTTTTTCTTACTGTCCATGTTATTAACGTACTCGGCGAGCGCATTTGGCGGAGTACCTGCAGAGTAATAAGCGATTCGTATTTTTGTCGTGCGACCGAAATGTATACGCGTAAAAAAATTATAACTGCCGGTCGTGCAGACGCGGCCATCGATAGCCGGCACACGTGTTCGGTAGCATCTGCAGAAAACGATTTCGGGGCGTGATGGGTTTTAATTTTGTATTTTTCTCGGTCACTCGACGAAAAAAAAAAATTGTCCATAAATGAAAAATAAAACGGGCCAATACCGCCGAATCTTATTAAAAACAAATATTTCAGCTAACAAGCAGCGATTTTAAACGGATTGTAATGCAATTTATGTTTTTACGGTTTATATTATGGCTGAACAAAATATGACACGAAGGTAAATCATTGGAATATAGTATGAGAAAAATAATTAAGTCCGATTGTCGATAGGAAGAAAATCAATATTGACAAAGTTAAAATATGATTCGGAAAGAATATCTGGTTAAAAATGTTTAGCTAAACATCGAAATAATTGGACAATACATTTTAGATTCTAAATGTAACGAAGACGCGATTAGTTTTACTAAGATGTGTGTGTATTTTTCGATTAGTAAGAACGCTAAAAATGATTCGCACTGTACGTTAAAAGACGCAGATTTTTCGCCCGGCTGTACTTTATTTGGAAATAATGTCCTGATTCACAAGTTATGAAAAAAAAAAAAATTTTAAACCAACAGAAAATATCAATTATAGGTGCGTGGATTTTATTTTTCTTGATTTCTGGGTTACCTATTGGCTATATGGGGTAAAAATCACGATAGATACTACTTTCGAATACTACTATGAATCGTTTTTCGTCTGCAATAATCTATTGTTACATACATTATATAAACTGAGGTATGTACTGAGATAGGTATAACCTTGTATATCATACATTCTCAACTACCCACAATACCCTCGAACAGTATCAACTTTTTATTATATTTTTAACCGTATAGTTCACTGACAATTTTAAATATATAAATAAATATCACAAAACGGTTTTGTGAAAATTTCCGTTTTCCGATGATTTTACAGGGTGTTTTTTCCGCATTATTAGCACAAGGAATTGCTAAGAATACATCAAACTGTTTTATAGGCCGGTAAAAAAATACACAAATCGTAGTAAAAACAATAATACAAAAATCAATAGTTTACGCTGAACGATAGAGTGATGTGCTATCGGACAAATTTCGTGGTGTTTTAAATCCGGATAAATGGAATGGACGTTCGAGTATCAAAAGAATATGCAAATAGTTAATAATAAATTGATATTGTACATTCGTTATTACACCTTATATAACTAATTGGAAACAAATTGCAATTTTCTATATAATTGGGTGAGTCGATAGTTGTGTTCAGGAAAAATTGTACGGTAGTCCCGTTTGAAAGGGTAGGAGTCGAAGGTTACGATATGCATAAACACAGAAACGTTAAGATCTGTAGGATTTTGTCGAACGATGTATTCGGGGTAAATTTGATAAATTTGATACATTACACGTCTGCACAGTTCGGGGAAGCTCGCACATAGTCCGAACCACAATAAGTACAGATATTACCATATTATAATCACAACGACGACGACCTCGAAAGACCGACGTGCATCGCGATCGCAATCACCGGTTTCGAACGGACCCGAACCGACCGTTGCGTTATTGTGCCGACACACGACAATAGACCGTCAACGGTCGGGTCTTATGCAATAACGTCGAAAGCACGAAGTTTCAGTTATTGTAATGCGTAACCGTAAAAAAATATGATTAAATTTCCGGATCCCGCGAGAATAGCTCGTCGTGTCCTTAGACCCCGAGAAAACCTTTCTACGTTACGGCGTTATATCACGCTGTATTAAACGGATTTCGGGCTACAAAAGCTGCAAGGGTCGGGGACCTGCGGCACCTTAACACGCAATCTGTGGCTCTTTGGAAAATGTATCAAAATTTAAGACGTATTATTATGTTTTTATAGCGCCTACTACCCATTCCCAATAAAATCGTTTAGTAAAATATATTAGTGGTTGCTTGTATTATATGGTATGTTTTTTTATTTCTTTGAAAATCATGGTTTTTTAAAAATGGTTCATTTACACGAAATTTTGCCGACCCATGCTGTAGAGGGAAAAAGGTCTTCTATATAAACTTCCGGCAAGATCCCAACCCGATAACCCTGTTTTCGGGGGTGAGACTCACCACTACGTATCCGATTCCGGTCTCGTCGTCCACCCAGGCTAGCAGCACGTCCACGGACCGGGCCGGCGCTAGCTGATCGGCGAACGCCATGGCCACGTAACCGCGGGTCCGGGCCTGGACACTGAACACCGCGCAGTCCGCGTATTCCCGGACGGACACGGACATCTCGTCGCCGGCCGACACGGTCTTGTCGTATTTGCCGCCGACGGTGGCCGTGGAGAAGTTTGCCGACTGGAAAGGCGGCGGAGACGGCGGCACTACGGCCACGGTGGCGGCGGCCGCGCACGCACAAACGGCGCACAACAACGACAACAACGATAACGACGTCCACGGCATGGCGACTGCGTGTATACACTGGACTGGTTCGACGGCGGCAACGGTGGCCGTGGCGGCGGTTAAAACCGAACACCTGGCCCCGTACCGCCGACGACGACGATGGTCGCGGTAACCCCTCGTCGTAATACATTTCAGGCTCCGCCACCCAACCCCTCGTCGTATGCGCGTAGGTCCCCCGCCGAGCCGTCGACTTGCCCCCACCACAAAAGCCGGCGAAACAGCGGCAGCGGTGGCGGCGGCAGCAGCAGCACAAGTTTCGAGCACATGGTCTCTTGCTTCCGAACAATAATAACAATAACAATACATAATACAAAACCGGAACACCCGCCCGTTCCGCACCGCGCCGGCGTCCACGCTTCTCACGTGCGCTTGTATGCACGCAACCTAACGGACGGGGTTTTCCGTCCGGGTCGGGACACGTAACGAGAGGATTTTACGCGGGTTTTCTCGTATATCATTTACATAGCGGTCGTAGATTCACCCCACATCGTAGACCGCGACCCTCGAGAGGGTGCAAGTCCTATTTTCCCCTCCAGAGAACAGCATGACTAGTCGAATAAGTACCGCGTGCAGATCGAAACGTTATAATATTATATGTCAGATAAACCGCAGTAGATATAATGGAGATTTTCGAAAAACGAGATATAGGCCAAAGAATGGTCATAGGATATTGGGGGAGAATATTCAAAGTCGGATTACGTAATTCGTTATACAAAGTTATAAAAATTTATAACTTTGAAATTACTCTTTTTCCATTGATAACTCGTAACTTTACGCGATATTTTTTAACTGATTTTAAGTTGCTATTAAATCGTTTTAAATCAAAATATATTTTAAATAAACCTAAACATATAATAATGTATACGTTAATATTATCAAAAAAAGTTACATTTAACTAGTAATTACACCACGACGAGTTACTTTCTTATAGTGACTGAACTAATTTATTTTTTTTTTTGTTAAGCAACTTGTACTTAAGGCAATAAATAAGAGGTAACTTGCTTAGCTTATTGTACCCGGGCAGTATTGTTTGAATATAATATATAATTCCAATAGGTAATAGTATAAAGCGAACAATATTTCAACGGGACAGGCAGTTGCGTTAAAGATACGTGTTATTAAAAACATATTATTAATAATGTATCTATTTTAACGAAGGAGTATTTTAATTATAGGTATTGAAACCGAAAATATATCATAAATACTATGTAGTCAATGTAGTACTTATAGGTAGTTAGATTTTATGTTTTGAATATATAGGTAATTACCAGGTCGTTTACACTCCACGCAACTCGGTTTTAATCACTTAACCTATGTATACTAACTGTTTTGTTTTTTATTTATTTATTTATTTTTTTTTTTTAATAAGTAATTACCATTTAAAAGTTTATTAAAAACATACAGGGAACACAATAATTGTTTGTAAATATAATATATTATGTAACTCGTGGTTCCGTTGTGTAAACGAGAATGATTTTCAGTATACAACCAATGTATTTCAGAAAATTCTTATATCACGAATCAGCGATTGTGAGCAAATTTTATTTGAATTTTTTTTCCCAATTATTTTACGACACCGCTTATTGATTTTATTTATAATATTTTAAAATATGTCACTTCACCCAAATTGGGCATAAGGTGAAATTATTATCAACTATTAGTTTTAAAATATTATATCTCACGTTCATATAATAATATCTATCATTTTTGGAAAAAAATATAGTTGATTGCGTGTTTTAAGGTATACCAAATATCATAAGAGTGAAATTATGAAAGTATACAATAATAGTAGGTAGACACCAATAAATGATATTACAGGGGCATGAAAAAAACCAAAATCAAATATACGTTCTCAAAATGTCCGTAGACTATCGTTGGATCGTGATAAAAGAGTCACTCTGTATATGCATTTTTTCCAACATTGAGTCACATTGCGCCATTTCTAAATTTATATCGCATTATTCGGTTGCAGCTGCTCCATTGCGGGTCAGACGGCTGTTTGCCGAAAGGGAAGAAGAATCGTTGGCACTAGCTAACTTGTCAATGGAATTCTTTTCTCACCCGATGTGTGCTATAACCCGTATAGTTATTTTTCATTTTTATTATTACGTATACATTATCGGATGTCAGGGGTTTTTTACTCCCCAATAGAAACCATGTTCCGATGATTTTTTTTACGGTAATATAAATAAAAAAACAGTATTATGTGAGTAAAATATATATGTATACGACATTCCGTGATATAAAAAAAACATATGCCAAAAAGTACATAAAACATATAATATATTCTACAAAAAAAACCTACGAACGAGTTTTAGAGTTACGAGTTATCGATCAATTTATGATTTTTATCCACCTATGTATTATTATGTGCCTTTTTCTTAATTGAATTCTTTTTATTTATGTCATCATTAATTTTTATTAATTGAATTATATTATGCTTCTTTGATATTTTGAAAATAAAAATCAGTAAACACAAAATTATATCATCTTCAAATAATAAATAATATAACAATCAACGAACCGCTAAGAGAATAGAAGGTGGATTTAGGCGACCAAACGTCAAAGTTCAAATATTGATGAAACTTTAATACATTACGTACCTACAACTACTACTTTTATATTTTCCATTTATGTGAATAAAACGATCTTGACTAGACAAAAAAGGTTTACAAATCGATACAAGATTCGTCACGTAGAAGGTTCGTAGTTGGTCTTACTGGTCAAAAATTTAAAAAAATTGACGCGTAATGTCACAAATCACAATTTTTTAGTTCTGTGCGTAACGAGGAATGTATAATTTTTTTTTTTATAACTATGAACAACTTTTCGACTAGAAATTTTAAAGTGTAGCATTTTTTATAAAAGTAAATTTGATTTAATTGGTGCATTGAAAAGGTAATTTTGAAGAGCCTTGTAGTTTTCTTAACAATTGAGAATAGATGGGAAAGTTTACGGCAACAATGTTTTTTTATTTTTTATTTTTTTTTTATGTTGTGATTCTGCTAGAAATAATCGTACAGATGTGACAGTTTTACAGAATAGGTATTAATTTATTAGCCTTCTCTAAACTTCGTAAAATTTTCAATACATTCTGGCTATTTTTGAGCTTGTTTTGCTATGCTTGAAAGTTTTACGCAATCAGTTATGCTTAGTGGCCAAAACAAAACATTTAGCGTAGACATTTTTTGCATAAATGTTTAAAGTTTAAATTGCAATATAAATCGTAAAAATCACGGTATTTTAAACATGTTTAACCAAACTCCGGTCAGAATCATATTCCGTTAGCTGAACTGATAAGCTTAAATTCGAGAATTAAATGATACAATTTTGGTAGAATTTCAATATGAATTTCACTATGTTGTTACCACGACTAAAGTAGAATCATCCTGTAAAATGATTTAGTTTATTATTATAGAACCAAGTTCAACCATAGTATAGTACAATATTATATAGGCCCGCGTACGAATGATAAACGTGCATTTTCAAAATGACAAAATAGTTGTGAAAATATAAATTCTAAATTATTGCAAATATAATATGATTTATTATACCGTTCTTGTGCAGTTATTAATTCTATGGCGATATCTTAAAATATATTCAAATTTTAAAATATTGCAATGACATTTTGAATGGTTTTGTAATGCAACAGACCGACAAAATAATATAATAGGTATAGGAATGCAAATTGTGAATGCAAATTGAATTTTGAACAACAATCTTACATTATTATTTTGATCATTTTTTTTTTACGTTTCGTTTATTTTATGTAAAAATCATCAATCAAATATAAAATAATAATTTCGTAATGGATTCAATGGCCCGTAAAAAACACAAGAGTAAAAAAAAAATCAACGGTAGGTATATTATGTATTCGTTTTCAAACTACCTTATATACTTAATAATTGTTATCATCATTATCAAATAAAATAATAATAATAATCAATATAAAACATTTCAAGCTAAGATATGTACACGCAAAAAAAATAAAATTAACATTTACCTGATATATAAACTAAAACGTATACAATAATAAATTAATGTAACATTAATTGCAACATGATTTCGAAAAAAAATTTAGACCAATATATAAAGTTCCGTTAAATTGGTACGTTTATCACTTATGTTATCAGTCAAAGGATATTGTATGAGATATGATAAAAAGTAACGTGTGATATTTATATTTAGTTTTACATTTTTTGTTATCTTGTTGAAGATTAAATTTTTAATGATTCAGCATAAGTAAATGTTTGACCGATACGTGTTGTCTGTATTTTAAAAATGAAGGAACAAAGAATTTGTATCTTGGTTTGTGTTAAAAATGGAATTAAGTGTAATAAAATAGTGATAATGATACAAAATCCTTTTAACGAATTTAATGTCTACACTTGGTGTTACTGAATAGTATAAACGTTTTAATGAAGGCCGTGAAGACGTTGAGAACGACGAAAGAACCGAGCGTCCTAACATATGGGGAATGAACGTCCTTCAAATGTGGCAGAAATTAAAGACGCGACTGTTCTCAGTAATCGCCTAATCAATATAAGAGAGGTTGTAGGAGAAGTAAATATTTTATATGGGTGTTTTATTTTATATTTGAAGCAATTTTTATAGATGATTCGGGCTTTAAACGAGTAACAGCTAAATTTGTCCCAATTGTTTTAATTTTGAATGAAAACAAAATAAAAAAAAACATTGTACAATAAATTTTATCTGAGGTTACCGACGTGGTTTTTGTATTGCACCTAATGGGGAGAATTTTGAAGGGGATAATATTAGTATTGATAAATAAATACAAATTGTTTGAGAAAAATAAAAATTCTCGTTATTTTTTTATCACGCCTGGTACTATTATTATTATACTATTTCCTCATCCCGTTTACTTTTGGTTTCAAATTCGTTTAAAGTTGTAATCCCGATTTCAATTTCATGTGGTGTTACTCAGAAGGCCGCACAAATAAATTGGACCGATAGGACCATCACTAATGAAGAATTTTCAGAAAGAACATCATTGTGGAAAAAATATTGTTAAAAAGTGAAATGAATATACTTAGACATGGAGGATTTTTTGGGACTAATCTTGGAAACGATGGTAAAAGGAAAAATGAAAAACCAAAACAGAGGGAGACCGCGATTAAAGTACATAAATCAGATAATACAGAAAATCTAAGAAACTAATTCATATAAAGAGATGATGAGTAAGTCAAACAACAGTTAAAGAGACATGTCTACAAGCCAATCTTTAGATTGAAATTTGCAGAAGAAGAATCTGAAAACATTCATTTTTATAAATATTTATTGGGTAAATACACTTATGTAGTATACATGGCCCGTTAGGCCAATAGTTTTTTTATATTTTACAAATTATATAAATATTTAAAGTGAATAAGATAAAAACGATATAGTTCGGTGAAACTTCCATTGGTTTAAAATAATTTTTCCCGTTCTAACTTAATAGAAAAAAATAAAATAAAATACACTTCAAATTCAATTTTCATCAATTGGTATAAAGTGAAATATTCGGACAAATAGAAGCTTTCTTAAAAAAGTAATACAAATTTTGAGAACTTTAAAGAAGCAAATAATTTATAATAATAGAAAATTGTCGGATTACAGTCTGCTTTTTATACAATATTGAATTATTTTCGTACAGTTATTAGTAATAGCATAACGTATATTATTAAAAAACTTTATCTACATAATATTTATGGCTATGTGATATTTTCAGCACTATATATACAGCACTTACTGCAGACTAACAATATAATATTAACAATAATTATTATAAATATCAATGTGTAAAAAAAAAACGAATAAAAGTCAAATGCTTAAGTATAAGTACATGTATATATTTATTTTTTTGAATATTCGTCCATCATTTTATAGTTGATTTATTCAATTAAATTTAAGAAATATAATGATTATAAAATTATATACACGCTTGATAGATTATAAAAACTATGAAACTATAATATGGTATTGCTAAAAATTAAAAAAAAAAAATACGATTACGTGGTAAATATCACTTTGTAATGAGTAATAACTAATGATATGGTTGGATATGGAAATACATATTATATATGATTGCAGTATGTTGCATATAGACTGGTTAGTAATAATAAAAACAAATACTGTTATACAACATAAACAAATAACTTACCTATAATACAGTCTATTTATTTATCTCATTTATATAGAGACAAAGATTGTCTAATATTACGTGGTCACTTTATGCGCGTCCAAATACATTTTAAAAATGTAAATTAAATTTAAGTTAAAAACACTTACATATAGTATTTTTTTTTAATTTGGAATTTCTGATAATTATTTGTTATATAAGACGATACTTTTATCATGTAGTTTAATCAAATTAAAAAAAAGGTATCGAAAAATCGTATTTTTATCGTGTATATGGGTAAAAAAGTCTGTAAAATACATAATTGTTAAAACTGTTTTATATTATTCTCGTTATACAAATACCAAATAGCCGTTTGCTCTAGTTAATATCGTTAAAGCGTTACCTTTTAGCGGTTAACACATATTGCTAAATGTTCTTTAAAATTAAATTCCGTGTTCGTAAAATAATATGCTTAGGGTGTTCGCCACATCCGCATCTATGGTTTCAGTTTAATTGACGGGCAACATTGCAAAGTTACGTTACTTATTATAGAACGTAAATGATTTTGCCGTTCACGATGAAATTAGAGTTTAAATACAAATAACGAAATTAGAATATTTCCAAGAGCTATACGTAGTTCTTTTTTCTAAAATATTGCCATAGACCAAAGTTCCAGCTATTTAAAAGAAAAAAAAATCTAAAATTGATATTTTGAATTGTATTAATATTATTATTGAATGTATTCGACTTGATATTAGTAGCAATAATGTATCTAAATAATGCATTTTTGAGGTTACAATATCCATAAATTTGCATGCAATTTCACTAGATAATAGATGCGATACTAATGATACTGTATATAGTTATACTGATTGTAAATAAATGTCGACGGGTATAATAATTGCAATTCAAATTAAATCTATTTAAAAAATATCCTAATAATCTTTGGTGATATTATTTTCACCTAACTTTTTATATTTTCAAAAATTATAATTTTAAAACTGATTTCAAAAATACCAGCGTTATTAAAAATCAATTGGGGTATACATTAAAACCTTACGCCGTAATCCATAATATAAATAAGATGATTCAAAATAAAATAAAAAATACGACTTGCTATTGGTAATGTCTGATTTGGAAAACGTATTTTAGTTGTTAGTATAAAGTGTCAACGTTAAATTGTTTAAATCGGACAGTCAACTGTTCATTTAATTTAAGTGCCGTTTAAGTTATACAATAAATATGAAGTATGCGTCGTTTATGCGCATCAAAGTTGAATTTGAATAATTTACCTAAACTGAATTGAAATTTTAAGGCAGTCCTGTGCAAAGGCCACACGTGTTACACAAAACAATTAGCTTATTAGACATGCATAAATTAAATTATTATAATTTAATCTCGTCTGACGGAATGTTACTGATTGCGGACTCCTAGATATCGGTTCGATTTTAAGCGCCACAGTTGCCGTCGATCCGACTGCCAACAGTGGTGCCGTGATTCTTCCGGACCATGAATAAGTTCGATTCGGTCGCGGTCGTTGGCTGCACTGATACGCATAGGCTGAACAGGTGTCTGTCGAAATGTTTGCGGAACGTGCCGCTTACCAGGTACAGGGCGACCGGGTTCATGCAGGAATTGGTGAAGCTCATGCAGAACCCGGCAATCCGCAGCACGTGCCAAAAAGTATTGTACTCTTCCGTGGACTTGGGATAGTTGTAGAACCACAACATGAACACGTGATGAGGGAGAAAGCAGATGGCGAACATCAACACGAAAGCCAGCACGCTTTTGGCTACTTTTTTTCGAGCTCGTACTTGACGTATTTTTCCCTAAAAAAAAAAAGAAAAAAGACTGACCAATTTGTATTGTCCAAAAACATTAAAATACGACTAGAAGTATATTTTTTCAAACAGATATATTATTTTAATTTTCTAGGTTTTTCTATCTGTAAACAATTTTTCTTACAGGAATCTTGTTTCACGGTTATCAAGTGTATCTTATCTAAAAGCAAATGTTTTCTAATTGGCGCTTCCGGGAAAACAGGAAATTTGTAAAATTGTTATTGGTTACCTTGGCAAAAAGTAAAAAAACAAGACTCATATGTTCAGACGACTTTTTGTTTACAGTAATTTATCGTTGCATACATTATATTATTATTATAAACTAAATTGTTCAATTTTAAATCCTACCTCCCAAACTACCTGTATATAACAGAGGCCTACCAGTGACCAAATTATAAGAGCAATTCATGCATCTTGCGGTACTAAGGGGTTGGGGATAGGCAATTTTAATCGTATATCAGAACAAAAAATAAAAAAATGATAATATAGTACTCAAATTCATTTTCGTATAAATTCATAAGTATTCGTCGGTGACGTCGTTATTACGAGTATTTAATGCTCAATTTTTTTTTACGGTCTACTCGTGAATAATTGGTTTTCTATCAAGACTATATTATTATAGTGCAAGTTCTTGTCTTTTCGTGAAACGGTTTTTACAAACATTTTATGGACGTTTCAAGTCTTTTTATAATGAATTATTGAAAAAACACTTTCTCTCAATAAAATGACTATACATAGTAACTAATTGATTTTATATGAATTAATTATTGTGTACGCTGCGCAAAGACAAATAATCGCTAAAATGTCTAAAAACACAATATATTTCACAAGTCTTTTGTTATGGTGCTCAATGAAATGGCAAAAAAACCTAGAAGCATACAGACTTTATTTTTTAGCTTTTCATGACTTAAATCATTAAAGTGACTAAACAGATGAATATATTTTTACAAAATGTCACATTATTATGTTGTATTATTTGTTATAACAGATGTATTGTTTTGAAGGTGTAGTTATGCCGGGCACATAAGAATTGCCTCTCAAATCCAGATATTCCCTATTTTAGATTCGGGGCGTAGTGAGGAATCTATTAGTTTTACAATGATGTTTTTTTTTTTTTTTTTTTTTTAATACTATTCAAAATTTCTACTACAAATCTATTGTTCTGATGTATCAAGTGTAGCCCTTTTTCCGGAAGGAAATTTTATCTAGTTGGTACTTTAGGCAGAACATTTTTGAATTTTTTTAATAATAAGGAAAAACCGAGAAAAACGTAATAAAAAATTGACGGCATAACAATTTTATGATTTTTAATTTGTTTAACTTATATTTTGTATAAGAAATATTGCTCCAAAAGAAAACCGACAAAATACTTTGTTGAATTTTGAATCTAGTTGCTTACAAAAATAGTCGTTTTTCGATTCTCTTTTAATATTAATTAGAAAAACCCGAAAGAAAGTAAAATAAAAACTAACAAAGTTACAACGTTACAATTTCATTAATTTAAAATTTTATTTCTGAGCAAATCGAGATATGCATTAGTTTTACAATGATCATTTTTTTTTTTGTTTTACTGTGTATACAATTTTCACCAGAAAAACTTCAATTTTTAAATTTAGCACATTTCCTGAAAGGAAATTTTATTTAATTGGAACTTTAAGAAGGTGATTTTTTAATTTTTTATGGATTTTTTTATAATTTGGAACAACGTAAGAAAAACGCCAACATTTACGAAATTTATTATGTTTAATTTTGTTTTTTGTTACGATATAGTTATAAATATTCATAGATACTTGAAATTTGGACACATAACTTATATTTACCTTTTATAAACGTGGTAAAATTTTCAAAACATTTGATCTATTTTTGAGCTATTTATATAGATATTTCAATTTTGCGTGCTTTTACGTAATTATTATTTAATAGTTAGGTTGCTCTGTGGATAAAATTGTCAGATCAAACAGAAATGCTTGTAAATTTAACAGGAGGTTCATTATAAGTTGTACTTAGTGGTCAATAAGAAAAAATTAAGTTCATTATAGTATCTTTTTTTATAAGAACTTTAATATCAAATTTTGATCTTCCCAGCTTCTCACCTACAACTGTGGCACGAAGTATGCCCGTCTTTTTTTACTCGAATCACTTTTTGGCGATTCGAGTACCCCTTTAATCTTTATACGAATACTCGAATCGCTACTCATAGCATATTCAATAAAACATCGATACAGTGAAACAACGATATCGACACTAGTCGATATAAGAATTATATTATTATTAGAAATTATAGTGACTATTCGATAATAATGGTTTACTGAAAATTTATACCTACTGTGTGATAATATTTTATAAGTATATATAATATATTATTATACCTTTGTTTTTTTTTTTTTTTTTTTTTTTTTTTTTTTTTTTTTTTTTATTTTTTTTTTTTATTTATAGTTTAAGTATTTAACCTAGTAATACCTGCAATTAATTTGGCCTTATACCAGTGGTAATTTAAGTAAATAGTACTTTTTAGAAGCGATTTGAGTAAATTTGTTTAGAAATACTTTACTAAGGGAGGAAATTTGAGTGTGCTGTAAAGAGTATTGTATCAATTTTCACCCGAACACGTTTACCAGTTTTATACTTAGGTATATAAAATACCAATTATATTCGGGTGTTCCTCCGGTATACAAGAGAATGCTAAATATGCCATTGTTCCTGTGCATAATGTTTCTAAAATTAATACAATTTTTTTTTAGTAATCTGAAATTAAATTACGAGAGTTTAATCTGAATAATAATAATAATACGTTTCTATCACCACAATTGTTCCAAAAATAATAATATGATTATGATACTGGTGTATAATAAACCGTGAAAAAAACCGAACGTTTATTATAATGGTAAATAAAATCAGAAAAAAACGGTCTCGCCGGTACATTGAAAATCGCAAGTACACTACAGCGTGTTCACAATACACTGCGGGAATTCATTCGCGTATAACTTTATTATTCTCTGCTAATGTTTTTTCCGCCCCTTTTTTCAATTTTCCTTCCGTTTCCTTAATTCGATTTAGTTTGTATTAATTAATCAAACGCGATTATAAACGAACACGAGGCTAAAAGAGACGAATTTATATTATCTTTGATATTATTGACGTTTTTATAAACGTTTTTCGAATGAATGTAGATATAATTGATTTATAAATTACGATTTTTTGAAGCATGTAATTAATTATGGAGTACCAGCTGCGAACGAAGCATTTACGGTCAGGAATGGTTCTTAACAAGTCCTAGGGCAGGGGGGCAGGTGAACAATTTTGCATAGTATACATACATTTTTCACTTTCCTAAACCCCCCCCCCATTTTAGGGGCATGACAATTTATTTCGACCGACCGTGCGCCTGCGCTCCTAAAATCGTCCGGACTTACGTCAAGCTATACAATATAATGTATACATTTACGAAATTTGAGATTATTGTATTTATATTTATCGTACTTTTAATAAATTGTGTTTTATTATACGTATAGGTAAATGATTAGTTTAAATTTTTTTTAGATTCTGATCAAAACGCAAGAAATGTTTTGGCTTTACTATCCATATGATATGTTTTTTGTTTATGTCTGTAAACAATTTTTCTAAAATAGAAATACCAATAGAACCACCAATAAGTCTATTACCAGTCCTAGGGCAATTATTTGAAATAGTGATGCTAAAACGAATTAGATCCATTCTTAGTCCCAAGAAATTATACCAAAGACTCAATTTGGATTCAGAGAAAACTATTCCTCAACCCATCGAATTTTCGGAAAAATAGCCTCTTCATTCGAGAACACAAACTTATGTTTGGGAGTACTCTTAGACATATCACAAGCGTTCGACTGGGTTTGGCACATTGAGTTGCTTTTTAAATTAAAAAAGTTCCTCCTAGCTTCACTCTACTTATTGACCAAATCTTATCTACAAAATCACTCATTCTTCGTCTGCTAAGGCAATTCCTTCTTATCTCAATTCCAAATTCGAGCAGAGGTTCCCTAAGGAAGTAATTTATTACCAGACCTTTCAACAATATTTATACAGCTGACATTCCTACTTCTGAAAATACTTTGATATCTACTTATGCTGACGACAAGGTAATTTTCTTATTACATTGTGACCCTTTAACAACATACCAAAACCTCTAAGTTCACGCTTAAAAATGTACATTAAATTTCTGTTTGTAGCCTACCTTCCGAACTTCTCACCTACAACAGTGGCTGTACCCACGTGTGAAGTATGTCTGTCCTTTTTTTAAATTTGTTTTTATGTATTTATTTTGTTAAAATAATAAATGTTTTTTAAGATGTTAATTTACGGAATTTTATTAATAATACACTAATAAAATAAACTAAAAATGGAAAATATGACTTAAAAGGCAAAAAAAAAATGACCTAAAAAATTAAAAACGTCCAAAAATGTGTAATTTGTAAATTAAAATGTGCAAATTAAAAGTTTCATAAAAGGATTTGTTGTTACATATAAATTATCTACTTACAAAACTACGTTTCTCAATCACTAAAAAAAATTCACTTTCCTACAAATTTACAGTTCTAGCTATAATAATACTGCAGCTAGACTTTTTAGCGAATTATTCGATGCAACAAAATATCAACAAATATTCAAAAATAACGTCCGAAAAGAATGTTTAGGAATATTAGTGCATAGTTTGGGAACGTGTATACAGGTGCGTTGACTTAGAAGTGAAAACTGCCAGCTGCGTAACCTAACTATTTCTATATTTTAATTAGGTAATTAGGTAATAATAAATATAGTGCGAGTTATCATCATTTTGACTAATTAATAATTTTCAGGGAGAATTAATAATTGCATAAATTAAATTATTATAATATATGAGTACGTAAAACGTACCTATTTACACTAAAGTTTATCTGACTCGTTCAAATTATATTTGTTCAAAACGAAATTGTTTCATCAAACGCTAATGTTTTATGCAAGTTTATAAGTTTCACATACGCTGCCAGCCAAAAGTTTGGTAACGTTGTTAAGAAAAGATCTACTACTGATATATAAGGAAAGTTCTATGCATTTATTGAAAAATGAATTAATTAAATTATTTAGAACACTGTAGAAAAAAAAAATATATACAGTGTGTTTCAGACATCATCGTTTCAAAAAAAAAGAAAAAAAAACGTATTAAGATTAAATTTTTATTTGATCGAAAAATCCAGCCTTACTTTTAATGACTGGTCTTACCAACCGTGGCATTCTTTCAATCAGCTTATCTATTATTTTTTGTTTCTAGGAAGTCCATGTCTCTTTTAATTTCTCTCTTGATCTTCCCACAAATGTTCGATGGGGTTGCGGTCTGGTGATTGTGGTGGCCATGTCATATTTTCAAGAACACCATCTGCTTATTTCCGTTTTAAATAACTGCGGCAGAGGACCTAAGTGTGATAGTGTGTTTTGGGTCGTTTTCCACGGCCAATTTTTTTGAACTCAGAGGGAAGTGCATGACGAATAAGAATTTGTTTATATTGCTCTTTTTTCAAAATACCATTAATTTTCACTAAATCTCCGGTCCCACGGCCAGGAAAACAACCCCATACCATAACTGATCTACCTCCATGCTTCGCAGTAGATACTACACACTTTGGTATCATTTTTTCAGATGCACTTTTCTCATAAGTTCTACATCTAGAGTCTAATATTTTATATTTTTATTCTTCACTCCAGAGTACATTTTTCCATTGATCTATCGTCCAGTTTTGATGCTTTTTAGACCACTGAAGTTTTTTATGTTTATTTTATCACGTAACAACGGTTTTTTTTACTGCAATACGTCCTTTAAGTCCGGCAGCGTTTAGTCTTCTTTTTACAATTAGTAATATTGGCTTTTTAAGGGTTTTGTTGATGTCGGTGTAAATTTCTGGAACTGTTAACCGTCTGTTTCGTTTATAGATAACCACTACCATATATGATAATGTCTTTTTGAAGATTGGTTACTCTTGAACGTCCGGTTTAAAGACGGTCGTAATAATTGCCTACAGTATCTTTAAATCGATTTATTGTCAAATACACGCCTTTCAGTGACACTTTTGGCAATTTTTCGGTATGAAACACCTTCATTATTCAATGTTAATACAGCTCTATTTTTTTCAATGCGAATTTCTTTGCGGTTTCACGTGATATAAGTAAATACAGCAGAAATGCAAGTTTCTGTCGTTTTTGATCTAACCTAACCTAATCCAACACGACGAATGAAACTTAGTATTGAATAAATGTATACACCGGATACTTGTCAGTCAGTGATTAAATTAAACTCAAATCGTTACATTTATGATTAAGTGTTATATACTCTAAACTATTTGTATACGACTAATAGTCACCGCGTTTCACTCTACTACGAGTTTATTGCAATTGGTTATTTTTTTGACAATATTATGAAAACAAACTGACTGATGAAAATTCTTCGATTCATATCACTTGTGGATAACAATTTTTTTCATGAGATACTTGAGTGGACTTGACTCTATGTTATTATAAGCAAAACATATTTTTTCCGAGACAGTTCTTCTGGAAAAATATGTGTTTTCCAATCCAAATTACCTATTTCCAAACTTTTAGCCGGCAGTGTATACGTACAGAACGGTTCACTAAGTGTGCTCAACTCATTTTAGATTCTGAGCAAAGCGAGGAATGCATTGGTTCATTATTTCTTTAAATTTTTATATTGTATATAAAATGCCTAACAGAATCTTGGTTATCTTGCTCCAATTTTCAAGTGTAGAACTTTTTCTGAAAGATAATTGTAATCAGTCGGAAATTTTTTTAGGTAACCCATACTTAGGGTTTTGGGCACTTTTAAATTAAAGATTTTTTTTTAAATGTTTGAAACATTTTAAAAATAATTAAATATATATGATAACTGTGACCCGTAAAAGCAATATTCAAATTTAGTGAAGTTTAATACATATTCACATAGTTTATATTTTCTTCGTTGAATATTCTATAGTTTTTAACAGATTTGCAAATATAATATTAGCCTGCTAATAACTTCTAATAACTTTATATTTCACGAGTAATCGAAGTGTTAAAAGGTCACGTGGAGACAAAAAATTAGAGGATAGTGTTCATTCAACAAATATTCAATCCGTACAGGTACCTTTAATACAAATTGAAAATAAAAACAAAAACTTAATGATTGCGTTAAACTATTTTGTAAATTTGTGAAAAAAAAACGTGTTTTGAAAAGTGAGATGTTTATTTGTAAGTTGTTAGGAGGGGTGTAGATCCTCGTGGGTCTGTAAACTGTAATGTTTGTTATTCAGCCCACCTAGAAAAAATCATAAATACGTTACCGGGCTAGACATGCCCTGTGCAATTATGTTAGATGTATGAGGCCGAAGGTATTACCCGCAATTATTCCAATACTAAAGAAAACCGTTCAATTACAAAATAAGTATCCGTGTCAGTTGTCAGTGAATATTTCCACAGATTTACATCGTAATGAGTGTAATTGTTTTGTCTTTGCGTTGGACCGTCTCTGTAAAAATAGACGCGCAAATTCCGTCATCAAATCGAAACCATTAAATCGCATTCAATACGCAATAAACAAAATTATTAATATCCGTATCAGTTCCACATTTCGGTAAATAGCGTCCAGTATTCACATTCCGGTGTAAAAATTATATTAACCCCACCCCCTCAGAAATGCACTACCCTATACCATTACATACTAAGCCGGTAGTATATTTTCCGAGAGCAGCGTATAATACAAGGGTTTCCATCATCCGTGATCATTTTATTTTAACGACCCTTAATGTGCATGCAACTATAATAATTTATAATAGTTATAACTGCAGCCACAAAAAATATACGCATCGTTAATATTGCGCCACCAACTGAAGTATACATAATAATTTACTGTAAAATCAACTTGCAGTTCCTGTTTGAAATTCACTGCATTCGCATGTGACAAATTTATAACACAATAATGTGCACACAAAATAGTTTTAAAAATTAACTGTACGGAATTTTTCAAACATAAATACGGTCGCGTATCGTCCAGTATTTAGGGTCATATGTTAATCTATATAAATAAACGCGTATGATGTTTAATTTTTTTATTTCATTATTTTGACGAATATTTCACATATATAAAAAAAAAGAACATTTTTGTGTTTTTTTCAATAACATTTTTAACGTTTGTAAAATTATACGATTATAGTGCCTTGAAGTAATAATATTTATAACTTTCGAGGGATTTTGAAGTATATATAAAAAATAGTTATCTGTAGTTAACACAGGACAAAACGTATCATTGGTCTCTTATACAGGCAGTGTTATGTTTTATTTATATAAAATATCTGGAAAGTTTCATCTAGATAAATGAAACATTAATAATCTGAGATAAATAATCGAATCGTCTAGATAAATCTTTTTAAACCAAAATTTATATATTCATATTTATATTTATCATTTTTCACAGAGGTTCTTTATACAACTTAAGCGAGCACCAATAAAGGGTTTTTTAAAATTCAACTCTTAGCTTGTTTTTTAAAATTTATCCTCCAAGATGGTGAAAGAGGGTTTCCAAAAGAGTTCAATTTATTTTCGTAAAATTTCAAAATTTACTTGGTGAATGCATACTTATCCTGTAGTGTGCCTGAGATTAATATATTAAAAACTATCGGATCGAATTATACGTGATTTTCGCAAAACGATCCACGATGTCAGGGGCAGGGTTTTAGCTAATGGAATCTTTCTTCAATCCGACCAATAGGTAAAAAGTAACTGGCCTGAATCTTTTATTTACTATTTAGTTTCGTAGCAATAGCAAAGCATGACCGGTCAGCTATATAATTGAAATTTTTATATTTGTTATTATACCAGTGTATCTACAGCAGTGACGTATCCAAGGCGAGCTAAAAGGGCATCAGCTCCTCCGTTGGCCGTGTTAAATACAAAAAATAATAATATAAACTATCCACCATTTACAAATTATCCATATAACTATTATAATATATATATATATATATATATATTACAGTTAAAACCCGAAAGCCGTCAAAACTAGTTTCCACAAATCCCTATAGTCAATTCTAGTTTTGACTAGTTAAAACTAGTCTCCGTGTTTTCAGTTTTGCCAATTTGTTTGGCTTCGTGATAGTCGTTGTAAATACGTGTGTGTTTGTCTCGCACAACTAGTTTAAACTATTAAAATAAAAATTACGGATTTTCACTAGATAATTCTAGTTTTCACCAACATATTTTTGACACAACTAATTCTAACTAAACAAAAATAAGTTAAATCTAGTTTTACAGGTTTTAGTTAAAATTGTATACTTATCTGGATAGAACTTTGTACATTTTAAATTCAAAACAATAGAAAGATCTCGAAATTCAACTCCTAAAGAGTTGCTGACATAGAGTTTTTTTTTGGTATTTTTACAACGAAAATTTAATTATTTTGTTTATTTATGGGTTACTATAGCTGTCCCGCACCCGGCTTTGCCCGTGCTAATTTTTATTATTTTTACCTTTATGTCCATATTGCTTTGTTCGTATCAGTATATTGAACTAAAAACAAAAAGGTAAAAGCGGGTAGTCCGCGGACTAAAAGTGTTCTAGTGTATCACACATTTTTTCATTCGTGTTACCTTAGATACCCGCACAACACAGAAATTAAACTATTTTTCCACTGTAATAGGTAACCCTAAAGTTACGAGGCCATAATAGTAATGTAGTAATGTTACTGTATCAAAAAATACAAAGATTTAGAAATGACGTTTTACGTGTTTTCATTTTTTACTTACCCACTAAGTATAGCACATAGTTTCTTGTTTTTTGTTTTCATTTATGTTACTAAGGTAGCCCATCCTACTTCAAGCCAATAATAGACCTGGAGACAGTCAGATAGACTCTTTATTTTAAGTTGTTACAGTTGTTTTGGAATTTGTATTTCTGTTTATTATTTTTTTTTAATTTTAAATGTTTTTTTCATTTCATCCTTGTTATTATAAAAATCCATAATTAAACAAAAATAATTTAATTTTCGTACCAAAATTACCTAAAAACCTTTCATGCCCTATTTCACCCCCTTTAAGTTTTATTTTCGCGACAAAAAGTAGCATATTTTTTTCTCTAAGGTCAAATCTATCTTTATACCAAAATGTATCAAAATTGATTCAGTAATTTTTGCGTGAAATAGTAACAAACATCCATATATCCTCACAAACTTTCACATTTATAATATACTAACTGTCCTGTGCCCGGTGTTTTCCGTGCCAATTTTTCATTCTATTTATCTTTATTTCCTTATTACTTTGCCCGTATCAGTGTATCAAACAAAATAAAATAGGTTGGGTAATCTGGTGGACTGAAAGTGTTCTAGTGTGCAATACTTTTTTTCATCCATGTTACCATAGATACTCACAAAGCACATTATTAAACGTTATTAAATTATATTATATCCACTATAATAACGCTAAAATTATGAGGAAATAATATTATACTCCAGTGTTATTGATGTACTAGGAAATACAAGTAGTTTTTGAGTTTATTCGTTTCATCATACAAATCTTTCCTCTTTATAATATTAATATAGAATAAGTAGGATAGGATCTTGGCGATAAGGGAAAAACAGTTATTATATTTGTTTCATTTTTCAAGGAAGTATGTCTTAAAAGATAAATATTACTTAGCAACGACTATTGACTGAATTAAGGACAAAGTTGAATCTGGGAAATAACGGGTAATTTAGCTTGTTAAAAATGAAATAGGTAACATATGAATGATTTTACATAAATTGTATACATTATTTTACTACTTTTAACACTCATTTTAAATTCTGAGTGAAAAAGCTTAAAGTTTTACAAAAATGTTTATTTTTTTTTATTTGTGCGCAACTTTTCTGTAAGGAAATTGGCGTAGGGAGGTAATTTAGGGGGTCATTTTTGGATTTTTTCATGAAATTTGAAAAACGGAAAAAAAATAGGAAAATATAAAAAATGTAGGTATTAGTTAAACTATATTACGGTCTTCTTTTTTTCTGCGCACAACTTTTCTACCATCAATTTCGCTCCAACTTTTATTGATAGTAATGTTTCTAAAAGAAAATTTCACTAGCGAGATACTTTAAAGAGATCATTTTTCAATTTTCCTAAGAGTTTTCCCAGTAAATCTGAAAAACCGGGATAAAACATGGGAAAACCGGGAAAAATATAGGAAAACTGGGAAAATCGGTACAACATTAAACAAATGTTATCAAAGAAAATATATAAAGGATATTTTATTATTTTGTTATAAAATGACGTATATGTTGTTGACAAAGCATCACTATCAACTGAACTCCGCTCAGAATCGTTTTTCATAAGCAACGGTTTATTGTTAGGTATACATTAAATTATATATAACAGTTATTGCTCCAACCCCATTATCCTAGTAGTCTTTTTTTTATGAATACGAATATAATGAACAAAACCAAATATATTTTTTTTTTTTTAATTTAAATAAAAAGTTCCTGATTATTTGTCTTTACCTAGATAATTTAATCAAAATATATATCTTCGTTTATAGTCTTTTATTTGTATCTAGATGTTTTAAAATACATCTTTATACGCATTACAAAAAACGAAAATGAAAATTCTTTAACTGTACTTTGAGTTACTTAAAAATTATTTTTATTTTTTATTTTATTTTTTTAAAAATACATATATTTTTTCTTTTGTATTATAAACTTAAATTTCATGGCTAGTTTAAGTAATCTAATTACAAATACAAAATATAGAGCAAATTATCAACAACTTTCGTGCTTAGATCATAGGGTTCATTAAAAGTAATAATATTAATAGTCTCAATAAAATAAATGCAGGTATCTTATTAACATATATCACCGACCACTGTTCTATTATAGTATCAATTCAAATTTCTGTTAAATTAACGAATCCTGAAAATATAATTAATGTCAAATCATGATAAAATGAAAACATTATTAAGTAAAGAAAAATGAGAAAAATGATATGAATGTAGCTTGGTGAATGAATGTATTTCTATATTTCAAAATATAATTACAAACGCCCTTAATGTTTCTTCTACTTCTAAATCTGTTAATTCCAAAAATAAACTATTAGGCAGGCTGCAAACTAGAGAAATGTGTAACATGAAACTTTTTGTATGCAATCGGTTTCAGAAACTAGTTTCACGTTGATTTGTACATTGAAGAAACTTAAACAATGAAACTATAAAATATGATTGACATAAATGAACAACATAATTATATACAATATTAAAAATATATGTTAAATATGTAAATAAGTATATAAGTAAAGTATATATAAATATGTTAAGTATAATTTTGTTTTATTGATTAGTTAAAAAAAATTTACCTACCTACTTACTTTATTTCAATACATTCAAAAATACGAAAAAATATTATAAGTAATACTAGTACTAATAAATAATGTATTTTAATTGAATAACAATAAATAAGTTAATAAACTATAAATTGAACTATACGATAGAATATACTCAGTAAAAACTAAAAACGTGCATGACTACGTGAAAAAACCAGAATGACAAATTTCGTGTTATCAATTTCGTAAACTACAAATAAAAAAAGTTGCATGAAATTCGATGTGTGTTTCCCTATATAAGTATATCGGCCGGTTTCATGCAATTATAGTTTCGTATTTCATGTTATAAGTTTCGTGTTTATAATTTTTCTGGTGTGCGGCCCGCCTTAAAGGAATAGATGTCAAAAGGCTTGTTATGTTTCACACAGCGTAAGCAATATCTTTCTCTAAAATATAAGAAACATTCAAATAAAATTAAACTTGCGACTTATTATAAAAAATATAAAAATCATTTTAAAAAATTAATAAGGCTTGCAAAAATCAATTTTTATGAAAAAAATTTAATACAGTGTCATATAGTCTTAAATTAACTTGGAAATTAATAAATTAAGTAACAGGTACCATCTATAAATAAAAAAAAATATAAAATTGAAGTTTTAAAAGTGAATGATTATATAATAAATATAGCAGATGATCCAGTTGAAGTCAAACTTATTGATTCATTTTTTTATTCACGGATAGCACAAACTGTAATTTAAATGTGATTAACAAACTTGATGCGCAATCATTCGATGGATTTTTTCTAAAAAAAGTTTATATATCAGAGGTACAATCAATTATAAACAACTGTAGAGATGACACCACTGCGGGATACGATATGATAACGGTGAAAATATTAAAAAATATCTCTGAACAAATTATTAATCCTCTTGTTCATATAATTAATCTAAGTATTAAAAATTGTATTTACTCGGATAATTTTAAATTAGCATTAATCAAACAATTAAATAAAAGGAGTGACCGTAAAAACATGAGTAATTATAGACTAATATTTATGTTAACAAATTTTTTAAAAATTTTTGAAAAGATTATTAAGTCAAGAATCATTTTGTATCTAGAAAAAAACAAATTATTATCAAAAAACCAATTTGGTTTCAGACCGGGTTTAGATACGGAGAATGCATTATATGAGTTCACACAATTTATGTACAAAGAATTAAGACAATAGTAATAAAGTTTTAGCTGTTTTCTCAGATCTAGCAGAAAAGGCTTTCGACTCCATACATCATGATATTCTTTTTAAAATTCTACCTAATTTCGGAATAAATAATCGCAGTCTACTTTGGTTTAAATATATCTTTTAGAAAACAAATAGTAAAATTAAATAATATTACAAGTAATGAAAATTTTATAAAATATGGTGTCCTTCTGAGTAGTGTGTTAGGGCCAGTTCTATTTATATTATACATAGATGCGATTTGTAAATTAAAAATCGATGTAAAAATAGTAACATATGTTGATGAAACCTGCCTATTATTTAAAATTAATTTTTGGGATAATGTATACCTTAAAGCTACGGAAGGATTAAACGTAGCGTATAAATGTTTAAAGAAAATACACTTGACTATAAATTATGATAAAACTATGTGTATGCATTTTTCAATAAATAAATGTAATACCTACGGATCTCCATTAATAGTTCATAATTGTAGCATCTCTACGAAATGTGATCCTCAAACTTGTATACAAATAAAAAATATATCCAAAATCCGTTATCTAGGTATAATTTTGGATAATAACTTAAGATAGTACTCAACAATTTATTTTGTAAGTTACGTACAATAATATATAAATTCATTAAACTTAGAGATTTGTTATTAATTCAATTTTTATGTAATACTTATTTTGCTTTTAATCAATCAATTCTACAATTTTGGTTTGGGGAGTCACTACAGACAAAAATATAAACATTCTACAACAAAATCAAACTAACACTCTAAGAATAATTTTAAATAAAAAGTACTTTAGAGGGGTCAACAATAAATAATTACTAAATTCTAGGTGCTCTGCCAGTAAAACTCATATAAAAAAAAAGTAATATTATAAGTAATAAAAAAATGCATTAAATCTAAAGACACCATATTATTTTCTGATAATAAACGAAAGCATAGAGCTTATGATCTATCAGTAAAATATACACAAAAATCGTTTGTGAAATTTTTTGTTGATTATAATGGTCCAACTTTTTTTTAACCAGATGCCAATTGTGTTCAAAAAAAAAATTTTCATTCTGGTTTAATACGAGTAAATGAAAAAAATCGGTTTTTAAATGGCTGTTTTCAGTTTTATAATATTATACCTATTTATATATTTACATTACTAAAATGTTTGCATTCTGTCATCTTATATATATCACTGTATAAATTATCTAATGTATTTCTTTTTTTTTCTTTTTTCTATTTTCTATTCGTTTTCTGTATTTGTCTTCTACATTATATATCAGTTTTTGTTTTTTTATTTAAATAAAATCAAGTTCATCATTATGTCTGAATCTAACTCTCTACTCAATCACAAGCTATAGCTTACGGAAGTAGATTATATTTTATATTATTATATATGTCATGTGTGTGTATAATTAAATAAAATATATTTAAAAAAAAAAAACAAATTACTGATTATGTAGGCATGGCAAGTATACCTACTTGGAGTTCACCGGGCATATTGTTGGTGGTCTGTACCAGGTACCGAGCGATGAGCACGTAGAAACAGGCGATGATGGTGAGCGGGACTGCGTAGTAGACGAGGAATTTGACGAGCACCACGACCTTGGGATAGGCGGGTCCCAGGTGGTCCGGGTACGGGTAGCAGACCTCGAACAGCGTGATGTTCTGCACGCGGAACTGGCGGATGTACGAGTACCGGAAAGCGGGGGCGGCGCACGCGGCGGCCGCGGCCCATATGGCCGCGGCCACGGTCACCGTGAACCTGGTGGCGAACCGGCCGCCGACGGACGCGTGAATCTTGCGCATCGGATTCACGATGGCGAAGTACCGGTCGGCGCTGAGCGCGGTCAACGTGAACACCGATACACCGATTGACACGTCTTTGGCCGTCTCCGACACTTTGCACATAGCCAGTCCGTAAGGCCACGACGGAAACTGCATTCAGGTATCGGTCAAAAACATGCGAGAGAAAAAAACTACTTTAACACCACTTGGTGTTTTTCTTTTTCGCCCGTGTATTTCAATCTGCTAAAAACGACGGTGCCATACACAAAACAAAAACTACCGAAATAATCGATTTGTATATTCTGAGCGAAACGAGGAATTGATATTGTATTGGTTTCACTATATTATGAACGAGAAAATAATCGTTTAAAAAAATACACGACAGTGTAGTAAACGGGATATCACGGGGAGACAAGTTTTTGTTCCACCCTTCCTCCGTTCAATACAGCGCATGGTCAAAACCGTTTGGGACGGCTGTTAGATAAAAACTGTTTCTTCTCCCTCTCCCGTTAAATTTATATCCGATTTCCAGAAAACAAAAATTGCAACCATTCTCGGGGACGCATCAAAATCCGGAAAATTATTGTTGTTAAGAAACGTAAAACGCGGGGAAAAATACTTCATAGGAACGATTTTATTGCGGAACGTAATAACAAAATAACCGTCGGTTTCTCGAATATTTGTCCAACTTCGTACAGCGGACGTTTTCAAATTGCGAGCCGATGTGATTTCGCACAACGAATCCGGGGGGGTTATTTCAATTGAAAGTACGTCGCAAGCTCGCACTCGAGTTGGCGCGCGAAGCTAGTTTTTAAAGGACACCTGCAGGGCAGGCAAAAGGGGTTACTGCCCCCCTTCCTGGAATTTTAAACTTTATATACTTTTATAACACATAATGGCATAAAAATATAAAATATTTCTAAAATAAAACGTCTGTCCCACCCCGCACTTTGAACACATGTCTGACCGGGGACCATTGATTTTGAGCAAATTCGTTTATTTTTACATTCCTCGATTTTACGTTCCAACTGTTTTACTTTCCGGACTTTAACGGGCTTCCCGGTTTTTGATTATTATTATTTTTTTAAATCCACCACTGTACAATTTAATGTCACATTTTTTGACGGTAACACAAAACCGTACAAATTTGCACTGCATAAAATATCTACAAAGAACATTTCAAACATCATATTTTCTAATATTGTTTTTAATATTTGTGCTCACCGTGTACACGGTTGACGTGAATGGCACGCAGCTAATGATTACCAATAGATCGCCCAGTGCTAGATTGAGTATGTAAATGTTGGGCACGTTCCGCATGTGCTTGTGCCGGACAAATATCAACACCAGCGTCCCGTTGCCCACCGTTCCGACGACAAATATGAGCGCGAACAGCGCGGGAACGATGTACGTCTCCAGCCGGTCCGCGTAGTCGTATCCGTTTGGCGCGTCCACGCTCATGTTCGCACTGTCGTTCACCATGGCCAGCGCGACCTGCAGTGTCCGGTTGTCCATGTCCGTGTCCTGCAACACGACGTTCCAGCACTTTGAGGCTCGCAAATGCCGCAGACGGCCAAACTGCACAGAAAACCAACGGCGGACCTCAACTTATAGTTAAACTGTTTTAGTGTTAAAAGGGTGCGATAACCGTGTGTGTCGTATCTGTCTCGCAAACGTACCGCGCAGCGAATTTACGTTCAGCGCAGTGGTATACCGATAAGGTGGTATAACGCGCAATGAGCCACAGCTCTATGATATTTAGGAACCCCAAATAAGGGTCTAAGGCATTATTTTGAGTGGAGTGACAGATAAAAAAAAACATGCAATAACCTCCTTTTCCTTATTAAGTAATATAAAGTGTGCAGACTGTTTCTGAGTGTGTATAAAAACAGGCAATTTATTTCATTTTACTCCTATTTGAGTAAATTCGTCCAAAATAGGATTGTGAATTTGGCCCTCTATTATTTTGCCACGAGCATTAGAAATTCTAGTTACACCACTGGTTCAGCGGGGACAACATTGTGTTGTTAGTTTTAATATTAGAATTCGTGGATTGGCAGTGAATTCAAATGAGATATACGTATTATTAAATTATGATGTTAATTCACACGCTCGTATCACTCTTAAAAATTAAAATATCGAAAAAATATTAGCAACGTTACATAGATAATGTTCTTATCTTTAAGTTTGATAATATGTCAATTCACTCTAATATTTATGCTAACGGCACAACGTTGTACCTACTGAATTCAAATTTGCTAGACGATACGAACTACAATAATATGTACCTACAATAATATGAAGTTGTTAATATAACATATGGTAAAACATTAATAAATTAGAAAAATAGGGGTTTCCGGTACTGTGAGTATCGAACATGTTTCATTCTCTTTGAATCCGTTTCTCGATCGATTTCCTATCATTTTTTAGAATTTCAATTATCAATAGTCACTTCTACTACTGTTATTGTATAACTATGTTACGGACAATGTATACATTGTCCGGGTAATTTGATCCTGTCCAAGCAATTTAATTTACGAATATAAACAAGTTGATTAAACGATTTAAATAAGTTAACAATTTCGTTGTGCTATATTTATTATTTAATTTATTATTACTCCCTCTTCTCCTTCACCTTCATCCCAAATATTTGGAGTCGGCTACCCTCGTTCTGAACTTCTACTTGATCCGATCTCCTACCCCACGTACACTGACAGTCGTCATGTCATTCTCCAACCACCACTTTTTCAATTTTGTCCGTGTAATAAAAATGTTTCTAAATAATGTCAATAGATAATTTATATTAGATTTTTATACCAAAAGTACCTAAAAACTGAATTTTAGGGAATAGTATTCAATAGGAGGTGGAATTCAATAGCTAAAAAACTTTCTCCGGACATTACCTATTTATTTGTAAATGATTTACATGGTTTTCATCAACATAGCTATTATACTAATATCCATTATGACTATCTAACGGATGTATGGATCCTATAGATACAAATAATACGGAGATAATACGATGTATATACGGTGTGTTTCAAAACAGACAGACTTCGTTTGCAATAATAACTTGTATTAGATGTATAATTATTTTAGAATATTTATAATATAGGAAATATATGATAATTTAAATTAATTTGTTTATATTTGGGGTTTAAATCACCTGGGTAGGATCAAATTGCCTTTAGTCAATATGCACATTGCCCGTAACATTTGTGTGTGTGTGTGTACAAATATTAACGTTGCCCAACTTAGTGAAAGGGTTTTACAAGCCACTGGTTGGACCTTATGAAACATTAAAATGTTTAGCATAATATTTAAAATATCTATTACTAAGTGAATAACTACAAAGTTTTTTTAGTTTTTTTTTCTAATGATTGAGGGATAGAAAAAAAATTCAATTTTCTTCTAAATATAATATCTCCCTTACACAATATCCAATTGAAGAAATAATAAACAAACAAAATAGGATATTAACAAAGATATTAGGACCGGGAAGAAAACACAATTTGTAATTTAATTTTACATTATGTTGGTAGGTATACATTAATTAGATTATTCGAGGGATGCACGAGACGAATAATTGACGTTTATACGATTTACCCCAGTAAATCAAACTAAGTTCTAATGCCACTAAACTATTATGCTTTTATGATGTGCAAATACACACACACACACACACACACACACACATGCACTCATAATAAAAATTTTGGATTTTAAGTTTTACGTACAATTAAAATTTCACTTGATTTGACAAATTCGTTATGAGTGGGGAAAAGTATATATAATTGAGAATAAGCAAATTGATTCAAACGAAATTACGTTTTTGTATTTTAACTTATTCTTATTATTATTATTATTAATATTATATTATCTTAAAATATAATATAAACTCTTCACAAGATAAATTAATTTGGGTGTAACATTTCTTTTCTCGATGCAAAGTAAAACAAAAAAATTTAATTAAATAAAAAAATTATAATTCTATTATTAGTGCACCTGAGCACAACCTAATAGTAGTATACCTAATTATATGCGTAATACCTAATAATACGTTATTTGTGTTTTGACATAACGACATTGCGATTAATATAATTTAAACAAGATGTAATTACTTTCATTAAATTAACGACGAAAGATTTTTTTTTTTTTATTTTAGTGCGACTTGTAGAATTTAAATTTAAACGCGTGGGGTATAACAAAAAAAAAAAAAAAATGTAAACATCGTGTATCCAAAATATGAATAATATAATAAAACGAACGGTTCTAAGTAGCAGGTTCCGTACGAAAGTTGAAGTAGGGCTTCTATACCCTCATTTATAAGAATGAATAAATATTTAAAGTTTTTTATTTTTTCAAAGTTATAGGTATGCACATTTCGAACGTTCATAGTATACGTAGGGTTATTTTAATATTTATTGGTTTACAACCATTGTTGAGAATAGATGACGAAAATTTCATCTAGACACAGATGAATACATTTTACATTTATCTAGATTAGATAAAGATAATTTTTAGTTTTTTGAGTTTTTTCAAATAGGCACTATATTTATAATCAATGATACTATGAATAAAATTACGATAATATGATATTATTATTTTGGCTAAAATAATATTGTGTAATAATGAGTGGTAATTAATCGCGCAAAATGAAATACATTTAAACATTTAAATTCGGCGATTAATCATCACCTAGAGTGTGTAAGCCATTTAAATGTTTTTACAATTTGAAAATTTCAAGTCAAGACGTCTTTATTTTTTCGACAGTTTCTCAAGTCCAAAATTAAACTCTATAATATAAAATTCGACGTTAGATTTCCAACATACAAGTTGATCTTTTATGCGTACTCATATTTATAGTGAAATTATGTATATCATATGATTAAGTTCTAATTTTTCGAATGTACTGTTAAAAACGGTATTTAAAAATATTTAGATTTTTCACAACATTTAAGGAGTATCCTGTGGAGACGCTACTCGTAACTTTGATTTTTCAATTGAGAAAATATACATGTTTAAATGGGAATTGCAAATAATTTGATTTTTCTAAAAATATTGACGTATTGTAATCGAAATTTGAACAAATATAGTCGTTAGGTTATTAAGAGAGTTATTAGTAGAGTTATTATACTTTAAACACAAAAGCTACGGCCCCACTGAGAGCGATTTGCGATTTTGCGTTTTACCGATTTTAACAACAGTATATAATTCATATGTAGTGGCCCCATTGAGCTTGTGTCGCGTGTCGCGTGTCGCGTGTCGTGTGTCGCATGTAGAGTGTAACGCTACACTCGCAATAATCGCTGAAAGAACAAAAAAGTTTGATATTCGGCGATTAATCGTTGTCAAAATGTCTTCCGTGTTGGTTGTGTCAGAAAAAAAAAATAGCTGCCGCTGTACTCGTGCAGGAAGCTATTTATTGTAATACATCCGTTTGTAATTGTACCCGGACCATAAAAATAGGACCAAAATCCAAAAATGTTGGGTTAACATAGAAAACGATTTCAAGAAGGATGTCAACATGAATGGTAATTAATTAATATTATATCTATATATATATATATATATAATTACACAATAGGTATATTTACTAACAGATATTATTTTATCAATAAAATTAAAATTATATTCAAAGATATAGAAATGAAATACTATTAATACTAATAATAATGTATTGGTTTTACATTTAAAATATTTTTCTGAACGTCATCTTGGTCGACGATTGAATGAGCAAATGAAAAATAAAATGAACACGCGTAAGGCAAACACGCAAAAATGCATGTAAAATCGCTTCAAATCGCTTCTTTTTTGAAATTTGTTATCCTATCATGCTTACAGAAGAAAAATTTAAGTTTTCTATTAACATTTCAAGTCTCTATGAATAATTTGAATTGAACAACAACAAGAAAACAAAATTGAAACTAATGAAACCATTATAATATTGTAATATTGTATTAGCACAAAGCTTTCTTGTTCTTTCTACATTTTCCCCCGATTTTGCTCAATCATTATATAATTGACTAAATTGAAGTATTTATTAACTACATGCAAAATCAAAAAATGGCTTTCTTATCCATAGATTAAATTTAAAAAAATACAACCGAAAAAGGTAGTTTTTGATTAAACCAAGTTTTCTGAAGCAATTAACTGTGCAAATTCAAAATAATGAAATTGTACAATGTCGTAAATTTATCAGTTTTCATTTTTGTTTTTTTCCGGTATTTTCCCGATTATAATGAAAACCCCTTGTAAAATCAAAAAATGACATCTTTAATATACCAATTAAATCCAAAACGCAACAAAAATGTTCTCTTGTCATTTTTCGATTGGATCGAGATTTCTGTTCGAAAAAGTAACGAAAAAAAAAAATCAGAATAAAACCGATAAGTTCCTCGCTCTGCTCCGAATTTAAAATTGTCGGAGTATATTTGTCATTTGAGTATTCAACTAATTAGTAACTATTAACAAATAATTTATAATGCAATTATAATTATCAAATTCGTTCCCATTTACAATGTATTTAATAACCTTTTAGTATTTA